TAAGATAACAATGTCATTTCAAAAATTTTTCCCCCATATTGCATGTCAATTAGGAGTTTCAAATTTGTTTTCACAAATGTAAGACAGATATTAAAATGTACATAAGGTGTAAATGTAGCATACTAGATTGTTGTGGTTATGGTTTATGTCAGAAAAAGGTTTTGGCCTTCCTTTTAGTGTTAATAATATGCACTTAACATAGTGTAAATTACAAACAACCCAGAGATTACAGACTTGTATCCTATATCATGCTATTTTGGCATTAGGATAGCAGTTTTGTCTACTATTCTCTACATGTGGATGGAGCTGAGTATAGGGGCATCTTGGTAGAGCCTGGAGCATGTGTAGGTGCATGTGAGTGGAGGTCTGCAGCCACATGTCTCTCTCATACATTCATCTTGGATTAATCACAAAACTTTAATCAGCCTTAACCGATTATACCGGAAGGAATCAACAGTAAGATGGCAGCAAAAAGGAATGAAAACCCCTTCGTAAAATACAAAGTTGCAGGGAAGAGAGAGTTGAAGATACCATTTCCTGTTATAATACACAAACTGTCCACACAGGCTATGGAAGAAAATAGTGTCCCTGAACTGCAGAAATCATTTTATTCAGGTTACAAACTAATAACAGTTGTATCAGGGTGTTGAGGGGTAACCACCAGGAGGCACCAGAGCTAAAACATTAAAAGTTTCCAAGTTGCTTTTTTTCCCCTGTGTTCACATGACTAATCATATGATTTCATGTACTGTACATATTAAAGGACACCTGTGTGCCCTGTTTTACTCTCATGCCTTGAAGAAGACCAGCCAGCTGGTCCAAAGCATTATGTAATAAACGACTTATAAAATAATGTAATTGACAGATTATATTACAAGTGCCACATTCTCCAAGACTCTTTGTTCTCCCCCCTGGCTCCCTCACTTCTAGTCGCTTGTTGTGTTTACCTTGTCCTCCCAAGGGACCCAATGTAGAAAAGATGTTTACTCAACTCCCTTTTTTACTTTATTCTAGTTGTATGACTGAGATAAATACTTCATGTACATAAGTTAAAGCATTGACAGTACATTTGAACGTAATTTGATCTCTACTAGCTTTTTCTCAACCCACACCATGAAAGAAAAGATAAAATGACAATAAAATATTCCATTTTGAGTCTGTTCATAGCTACCGAAGTTACACTTTACCATGACATCCAAACATCTGCCCTTCTAAAGCAATCTAGCACCTCATTTGAAACAAATTAATTTAAAATGTAGTCCAGTTGTTTTAGTTTAACTTTTTGATGTAGCACCACATTAATTAATAAGTTAATAAAAAAAAAAAACTTACTTTGTTCTGATGAATCCACCAATTTGGACAGCTTTAACCTAAGCACTATAAATGGTGCAACACAGAAGAGCAATAGACTGTATCCTGGAAAAATATAAAAATGTTAGACATAGCATAAACATTTTTTTCCACTGGTTGATATTTGGCATAATGATAGGGTATTAGGTCTACACACCTGTTCTGGGAGCCTGAACTCATTATTTTGTATTTTGATTATTTTGTATTTTTTTAACATTAAAATAGTTGTTACTGTATGTCATAGCCCAACTATCACAAAAATTGATGATTTTCAGCTAGATCATTTATATTGTGGTTCTTACAGCCTAGTTATGTGAAAGATTAAATTAACAACAATTATTTGTTATGCATTAAGTCAAATATTCACACTGTGGGACAAAAGTACATACCCATTGAAACCCACATGTTTTAAAAATTAACTATTAGTGCTTTTAGGACTCCCTTGGACAAAAAAAAAAGATCTCCCTGGGACTATCCTCATTAAATATTTTTTTTTATTTATTTAAATTTTTTTTTTGTTGTTTACTATTTGATATTGAACATTTTTTTAGGTTCCAGGTACAGAGTTAATTAGTCCTTTGTTGGATGAATCTAATCTTGGGCATAATAACATTTTATTTGTATTTATTTTATTGGAATGCCCCTTGACATGTGTCATGGTGTGGTGTTTGCAGCAGAGAAGACCAACAAGCCAGAGATGTTTGAGAGCAGCCCCACAAGAGCCACCCAGGAGTCCAGGCAGCGCGTCATTATCTTCAGCCCCAGTAGACTGCTCAGGTAGGCCAGATGTAGAGCTGCTGATCCATAGCCAATGAGCTCCGATCCCCAACACAATGGAGAACTCAGGTCAAACAAAACATAAAGGTCTCTGCAGTCATAGTGAACACCTACCACCACAAAGAAGCAAAATGTATAAAGCCACAGCTTGTATTTGTGAAAGCAGTCAGTGCTTTGACTCTCCCCAGTGGAGTACAGCTTCCATAGTGCTTTGTGATGGCTGGTGCTGAAGAGCCTGACAGAGAGGTCTACCGGCACAAACAAACAAGTAACTGTAGAAAGCTGAAGCCAGTCTTGCAGCCAGGACCAGCCAGCATGGGGTGATGTTCCTACAAAAATAGAATATTGCTCTTTAGATTAACACAATATTACCATAAGCAACTTTTACACAAATTTCACTCAAGTTTCAGTTTAATAGTCTGACCTTAAATAACTAAGCAACAAGGTAAGGTGATTTGTGTGGCTTTTTCTTACCCTTGTATCTGAATCCAAATGCCTCCGATAATGCTGGCCATGATCCCAGAGTGTCCTAAACATGCTTTCAAGATAGCAACTCTGAAGGTGCGAGATGTTTTGTCAGTTATATCAGCTATGTATGCAAAGCTACTGGCCAAGATGCAGCTGGTATCACCAGAAATGCCACTGATCATTCTACCTAATAAAAAGTACCCCACATGAATCCCCCACATGTAAAACAATATCTCTAGAGCCAGTCCCAGGCTCGGAATGATGAGGAGCGCTTTGTCACTCCAGGAGCCCAGGAATGGTATCACCGACATATACAGAAAAAATCTCCACACATTGATGTACGTATTCCAGTGGGCAGTTAAAGTCAGTACCTTCTAAAACAAATCAGAACCTTTAATTTGGTATTTTAAAAGCCACATTTTTAATAATGAATTAAAATAGATAATGCAGTGAGATTGCTCTATGTAATGGGTCAATTGGCAGAGAGCTGTTGCAGTCCGACCTTTTTGAGCTGTTGTAGAAAACATCTTCACTTACACGGCCCCACAAATACTAAGTGAACAAGGTTGGTTTCAAAATGCGACCAAAGATGATGAACAGGATTACAGGTTCCACAGTAACTGACTGAAAATTGAGTTTTTACAAACTTCACTCTAGACTTCTTTCTCATAATAGATGTCACTGGAGATGTTTTTTTCATAATTGGTTCCATTGTGGATGGGGTCAAGAATAGTGGTGGAAATCCATTTGTTCATAGTGATCTACCCGGTTTACCTCCTGCTCATTGATTAATCCTGGTACAAAGCTACACACCCATTTTCTCTTCAAACATCAAATGTTTCTTTACACACAGGATGATATTTCCAACAAATGTAGTGAAACTTCTTTAAAATGTAAATATTCCTTGCACATCTCAGAAATACAGGCCCCACACACTTGAGTTAATTTTTAATCTACATAATCGCAATCATTGGTTTATGCTACTATCCCTGTCTTTACTGTCTGAGATAGTGCAGACACTTCACATACCTTGTGTGCTCCCTGGATCATGGCTGGCTGTTGTGCATCGTTAAACTTTTTGTGGAAATGTAGGAATTACATTATAGTAGTCCTGACACCTCTTCTTCTTTTGCCCTTACCGCTGATCATACCCACTCCGGTAAGAACAGAAATATTATTTTTCTTTGAAACAAATCATGAAGCTTAATTTAAAATTTAAACAGCCAGGTATTAGCATGGAACATATGTTGTTGGGGACATTTCTATAGTTATTTTATATTCTGGTTATTCTTTTGCTTTCTTTATAGCTATAAGTGAGATTACAGCATATATCAGCACATGTGCTAACAAGTGGCTGACAAACTAGGGTTAGTGTAACAGTTCAAAGATCAGGGCAAAGGATGGTCTGATATTCATGTACTATATTAAGTACTATGAACCAATGCATATTATTACACTATTAGTTTGAAAAAAAAAAAAAAAATCATAATCATAATGGTGCAATGAGGTTCATTTGGTCTTTTATGTTATTAGATTATTTTTTCACTCCAAGGGTTTGTTTTCATATCTGAGAGTTTCAACTACTCACTAGTGGTCGTCCTCAGAGTGGTCACGTGGTGTTGCTGTGACGTGTCTGGTCAGCTCATTTATATAGGTTTTGGCGCTGTCTTCCTACCGGTGGAGCCAGGATGGCAGCCAGTCAGACTTCATCGGGACAGTATCCCAGGTGTGTGAGAGTATAAAAAAAAGCACACACAGTAACATTATCGTACATCAAGGGCATAACAGAAAAAGTGCAGAGGGCAAGGACAAAACACAATATGAACACACCAATGAAACCATACAGGAAACTCAATTACTCGTCCACTCCAAAGATAAAATAGAACCGGAGCAAATGTAATGTCATATACGAAATACCCTGCATGTCATGCAATAAAACATACATCGTGGGAACAACTCAAATAGGATTTTCTGATCTCTGTAAACGAAAACCACATAATGGATTGGGACTGAGCAAACACCACTGGGACAGAGGACAACAAACATCATTGCTGGATTGAAGAAGCAATCGAAATACTGAAACATGTCCATGACACTTTCAGCCAGGATAAGGGGGCTTTTTTACTCTCACACACCTGAGATACTGTCCAGAGGAAGTAGGACTGCAGATGACGCTGTCATCCTGCCTCCTCTTGTAGGAAGACAGTGTCAAAACCTCAACTGACCTGACATATCACAGCAACATCACGTGACTACTACTACTACTACTACTACTACTACTAATAATAATAATAATAATAATGATAATGATAATAATAATAATGCTACATCAATAATTTATATTTGATGTTTTTTACTATTTGTTTAATGTGCCAATTGTACAATTGCAGGAAGGAAAATGTGGATTTGCAATAATATTGATGGCTCTCTACTGGTGTACAGAGTGCATCCCTCTGGCTGTTACAGCACTGTTGCCTGTAATACTCTTCCCCATGCTGCAAATTATGGAATCAGATGAGGTATGTTTTAACAGATTCTGGTTTGCTGACTGTTGCTTTGTTTGTATCAAGTGTTGTAGTTTGTATTTGGATTTCCTGGTTCAGTTTTGTCCAAGCCCAGGTTTGCATCCAGTACCTGAAAGACTCCAACATGCTTTTCATTGGTGGGCTTGTGGTCGCTATCGCTGTTGAACAGTGGAACTTGCACAAGAGAATCGCCCTACTGGTTCTGCTTGTCGTAGGGGTCAAACCTTCTTTGTAAGTACAAACAAGTATAATACAATGTCCTCTGAGATATGAAACAAAGAAGACAGAAGAACTATCTCTCCATCATGAGAGCTGTAAGTGGGTGGCATAAATCAGTGAACATGGTTGTTGGCTTTTATAACCAAGGAACATTTGTATTTGTAAGTTGATAAAGTTTGACCAAGGTCAAACTGACTACAGATGCAAGAACTGAAATATCAAACAGCAAAACTGACCAATCAATTACAGAAAAAGAACAAAAGTTCTTTTCAGCTTCTTGTCTAATCAAAGCATTATATTTCAGCCTTATGGTAGGGTTCATGAGCACCACAGCGTTTTTGTCCATGTGGATCAGTAACTCAGCTGCTACTGCCATGATGCTGCCCATTGCAAAGGCAGTGCTGGACCAGCTGTCCGACACAGAGGCACGAACAGAGGAGAAAGAGTGGGAAATGATGGCTGCCAGTGATGGTGAAGGGAACCCAGTGTTTCAAATGGAGGATGAGAAAACTGACATGGGCAGTGTGCTACATTTACAGGAAAATGGCTTCCATAAACGTATGTTTTTTGATGGTTTGCTTTCTAAGAATTGTCACATTGTCCTGTCTGACTCATTTGATTTTCAGATGCAATAAAACATGAAAACAACAAGGACGTCCAAGATGCTGGAGAGGATGATAATTGTATGTACAAAGTGCAAACCAATACATCTGAGAAACTGTGCATGATGTAATTTATACAAAATATATACATACATACCCATGGGTTTCAGGATGATGAAACATTTTGACAACTGCCAATAGTAATAGTAATAGTAATTTACAATTTGAAACAAATGATTATATGTTTTGGATGGTGAAAAGTCATTAAAATGTCATAACAGGAAGTGGAAACACATGAATAGTACGACATGCCATTGATTTTACACAGTTGACCTTTTTGGACTTAAAATATTAATTTCTGACTTGATACATTGTAATATATACTATAAAGTTTGTCTCTCAATTCAGATTGTTGTGCTAAAAGAGCAGAGGCTGAGCAACAGAGAGTGAAGAGGGAACAGAAATACTCCAGGCTGTCCAAAGGAATGAGCCTGGGCATTTGTTACTCTGCCAGCATCGGGGGCACGGCCACGCTGACTGGGACCACTCCAAATATGATCCTAAAAGGCCAGATCGATGAGTATGATCCCACATGCTGACTAACTGTCATAGAAAAACACCCCACAGGCAATATTAAAACTTAACATTTCATTATCTTTGTCTTAGACACTGATTGTACAAAATAGTTTTGTAGCCTTATCTTGATTCTACACACACAGTGTTGAGTCAGATTTGTATAGTTTTAGTGTTCCTGCTTTTCTTTACGTTGCAACATTGGAATTTCTCCCCATTGTGGGACAAAGATTCTCTTATTTTAAGATACATATTTGATGATGCAGATTGGATTTCTTATTGCTGTAATTCCAAGTTACAGGAGTGTTCATTCCAAAATAAATCCAAATCCCCCATTCCCTCCAGTTCCAAACAGCTTTGTATAAATTACTGAATATTCCCTTGTCTGTCTTGATGGTATTCGCAGACTCTTTCCTCATAATGGCGGCATCATTAACTTCGCAAGCTGGTTTGGATTCTCATTTCCTAACATGGTTCTGACACTGGTGCTGTCATGGTTGTGGCTGCAAATTTTATTTGTGGGTTTCAAGTAGGTGTATGATCAAATGTTTCATCTTTTTTCCCTCATACTTTTTTTTTAACTGCCATTGTTTACATGTTTTTAAGCTTGAAAGAATCATTTGGATGTTGTACAAAAAGTCAAGGTCAAAAAGAGGATTACCAGGTGATCAAAAATGAGTACAAGAAGCTGGGCCGGATGAGTTTTGCTGAGGGCTGTGTTCTCCTGATCTTCACTCTGTTGGTTCTGCTGTGGTTTACCAGAGATCCAGGCTTTATACCAGGCTGGGCCACTGTTCTCTTCAATCAGCAGAAAAAGTAAGATTACAAACTGTTTGAATGAAGCATTAGTTTATATGATGCATACATAGAGATGTTATAGTTTTGCTTGGAGTGTTTCACAATATGACTTTAAACTTAACTATACCCATTGGGACAAGCAGGTGCTACCACTAAGCCAAGCGTTCACTGTACTTTTGAGCAATACAAAAACTCTTGTAGTTGAATAAATGTTAGTTTGATAAGTTGAATGCCATACTGTGGAACATTCTAGGCAAAGCTATAAAATCTCAATAGAATAAAGTAAGTGCCTCTACCAGAAAAATTAAAAGTAATACATTTGTACCTGCTCCTTGATATTTCTCAAATTTCCAATATTGCATGACTGCCTGGTACTATGTAACATGTATTAGTGTTAGACTGCTCTTTATTTTCAAACTTAAAGCTGGTTGTTTTGTTTTGTATTTTATCAGGTATGTCACAGACGGTACAGTGGCTATATTGATGTCATCACTTTTTTTCTGCATCCCATCCAGTTTACCTTCATTCTCTTGTGGGTCTTCAGATGGTAAGGGGCAAAACAGTCATTAGACATTATTCATATATTTAGGACATACTATAAAAAGTATGGAGGTTTGCTAGAAAGATATCTTTTGTACACTACAATTAGTGTCAACATTATAAACACAATTACCAATATATATTACTTATAATATTACTTATAAAAGTATATTATCATGATATTAAAATAAAACAACAATGTTAAAAGTGATACTTAATTATATTTTTGTAACAAAGGATTGTTGTGGAATTTCTACAGAAACACTTAATAAATCAAATATAATAAAACATAAAAAAATAAACAGAAAGTGGTAATGTTCCAAGATTAATTTATTTATAACTGTACAGCTATACAACCTAACTATCCCACATAAGTTCATGCCAGGAGGTCATGGTGACCTACATGCAATTTGTCTTACAACAGAACAGAAGTTGTGTAAAACACTTCAGGGAATGAGTTCCATGACAATTCCCCTCTTTTGATAATAATAAAATCACATTTTATTCTTAATCAAACCAAGTAATCCTTACAAAATCATACACACAACAACAAAAAAAAGAATGTGATACATTACATTTTAAGATCAACAAATACCTGTGACAAATAGCATAAAATTGACCAATTGAAAATGGGGTCGTGACCACAGGTTCTGCAAATGTACTCATATGTATTGTAAGTGGGACATGGTGGAAATCACAGACACATCAACAATGTACATTTTTATTTACTTTAATATTAATATTGTACAGTTACTTACAGTTATTGACACCATTACCAAAACAGTTTATTTTTAATAAACTACCAATTGTACTATGTGACCACCTTTATAAAATCAAACCTTCTAAATGACGTAATGTGTCAGTGTCTTATAAAAAGTGCACACATTTAGGCTTATATTTTTGAAGTATGAACTAAAATAATTTTAATATTGCAACATAGATAATCTCTTATTGATTATTCAATTAATTCATTTTGATATCCCCAGAAAAATATATGCTACATGTTACCAGCTTCATGTAACTTGTGCTTGATTTTGCTGATTCAGTTTTTTGCATATCATCAGTAAGTCTGATAGATATAAGGTCATGTATGGACATATGCTGACCTGTAGATAAATAACTTTCCTTTTATGAGTGTTTGTTTTTCTTGTCTCAGAAACATAAATTGAGTTTGTCCTTTTATGATTTATATATATATTTTTTAATCCATGTAGCGCTTTTTGTATAGAGTCTCAGGGATTGACAGAAAGTGGACTTGAATGTGCCAAAAGTAGTTTAGTATGAAGGTGTTATGTTACTGAATTTCTACACTTTTAATGACCTCTTTTTATTCTCTCCTCATGAGGCTGGAGGCTCAAGAGATAGAGAAGGAGGTGTACTAATGACACAAATTGTAATGACAATAAGGAAACACAAGTAAACAATGAATACAAATTTTAACATGATTTCTAATCTTGTTTCATAGGGGCCTCTGCTAAAGCCCCACCCCCATTACTGAGCTGGAGCATAGTCCACCAGAAATTGCCCTGGAACACCCTTCTGCTTCTAGGGGGAGGGTTTGCGCTGGCTCATGGTAGTGATGTAAGGACATATTGTTTGACATACTTTCAAATAAATATATATCTTAAGGTTGTTTTTTCTTTTTGAAGGAATCTGGACTGTCTGCCTGGCTGGGAAACACTCTCATTCCATTACAAAATATTCCCCCATTTGCCATTTCAATCCTGCTGTGTTTGCTGGTGGCCCTCTTCACAGAGTGCTCCAGTAACACTGCCACCACAACTCTGTTCTTGCCCATTCTGGCCTCAATGGTAAAAGACCATCATCTAGTACTTTGTCACTACTTTACAATGGTCCTTATTTATTTTTGTTTTTTATGTAATTATCCAGGCTGTAGCTATCAAGATCCATCCCATGTATGTCATGATTCCATGCACTTTTGCTTCCAACCTGGCATTCATGCTTCCTGTGGCAACACCCCCCAACGCCATAGCCTTCTCCTTTGGTAACCTCAAAGTCATAGATATGGTAAGATCTTAGACACAACACTGGGGCTAGGAAAGAAGTGACCGTGGGTACCTATTTTGAAAACATCGGCATTAAAAGCAGCTGAAAACAATCCCCAAATCCAATTTGTTTTTAAAACACTTGTAAAAAAATGACAAACAAAGAATGCATGTCATGAATTCAAAATTTATGTAGGAACATTTTCTTTTATTTATCAGTGTTTTTTATTTATTGAGTTATTCTTTTATTGGTTTATTGGTTTATTGACTGAACGACTGATTGATCTATTCATGTATTCAGTAATTTATGAATTTATTAGGGACAGGTGTAACATACTACAACATTTATAATCTTTATTTAAGGCTATACAATAGACAATAAACAAAGGCAAATGGGGTCCTGTCTCAGTGATGTCTTACTACTCTTTAAAGCCTGTTTAAATTTATTCATGTACATGTATAGTTGTATAGTATTAGCCTGAGGTCTCCCTGGAAAACTTTTTAAATGACCCCAAATGACTCATCATCATCTTATCATCTTTGATAAGAAAACGTTCAGTACAGTGCATCTACCTACTATGATAAAGCTCTCAAGACACTTTGTTAGTCTGTGGACATTTTGCTAGACCTGATCATGTAAAAGCAATATTTGAGTACATTGTATATCCCCTTTCTACTAATCCCTGTATGTTATCTCTTGTAGGTCAAGGCTGGGTCCATGCTGAATATTATTGGTATCATAACCATCAATCTTGCCATTAATACCTGGGGTGTAGCAATGTTCAATCTCGACACATTTCCAGACTGGGCCAATGTGACTGTGAAACCATAGATAGTAATTGAATAATGTTTTTATATTTTCTTCTTTCTATTTATTTCTTTAACAACAAGAAGTCTTTACCTCTTTGAGATGCATCTGAGCTTGTATTGTAGGTTGCATTCAGGTAACATCACAACACTATAACATTCATCACAATTCAGTTGTACATAAACTGTGTAAAATGAACCTTACATGTATTTGCACTTGTAATCATTTGAAATTAAAACTTTGCATCCTCCAAAAAGGTCTTAATGCAAGAAATTACAAATCTAGAAATGTTTTAATACCTTAGCATCAGCATTTCATCTGTTATCACTTGCATAAGTTGGGCAAATAAGTAACTCTGTAAAAAAAATGCTATCAGAAGTAATCTAGAGATAATTGTCAGATTATATTTTCTGCATTACTCAATATCTTTCTGATTCGTAAGCAACATTACGTATAATGTCATTTTTGTCAACAAAAATGCCTTGATTGTTACTGTACAAAATCAACTATGTCTCTACAATTGCTCAAGTAGCACAGCATGGTGCATGGACTTTGGCTTCTCCAGGGCACCTGTTGAAAGTAGTTCACTTGGTTCAGAAAGGCCTTTGCTGACCTCACAATTGGATCAGTGCTTAAGAGAAATTTAAAAAGCACAAACTAATCTATTCAAAACAGGAAAATATGAAAAAATACCAAATTATAGATATCCAGGACTGTATATTACAAAAATAAATAAATAAAACTTGGATTTTGGATTTCTTGATTGAAGGTTATGTTCCTATTCTATTTGGAAAGGATTTGACTGAAACTGAAAGGATTTAAAGCTATAATGCAAAATTATTTTTTAAGTTTAATCTAACTGTCATTCTTCTAGTAAATGTCAAATGCAGCTTCAAAGTAAGAAAACAATGAATCATTGCTGGTAGTAGAGCGTGACTGACTGCTGTCATCATAGGTAAGTCACACTACCTTCTGTGTTGTTTTTACCTGTGTGTTTAGCTTTGACCTTTGTCTTCAAAGTAAAAACTTAATTTTAATTTTATTTTGTGGCAGAAGTGCATTTTTATTTCAAATTATCCACAGGTAACTGCTAAATTTGTAGAGGCTTTATCTGTGCGAAATTGTCTAACATTTGGTTATACATTTGTCACAAATCATCAAGTAAGTAATCACCAGCAGTAAGTAAACGCACTTCTTTTTCATTTAACAATCCATTTCATCAATGACATGAGCTAAATTTGCACAGCCCTCCTGTTAACACTGTCAGTAGAGGTGACATTGCATTTACAAGGATGTTTGCACAAAAGATTAATAGTAAGTACAATACGTCATTGTTACACCCACAAAGAAATCTAATGCACCTAATTCAATTTATAAAGCTATACTATGTGTGCTGGAACAAGCTAATGTATTTGCACATCTAATCATGTGAAATTAAAAAAGACTTACTCCCATTCATATTTTGCAAAATAAAGTACCAGTAATCATTGCTTACAAAAAGGTCTTAAAGCAAGTAATTACAAATCTAGCAGACATTTTTCATATTTTCTTTGCAGTCATATTCAACTGAGATTATCACTGGCAGAAAAAGCCCAAGGCACTCGCTCTACTCTGTACAGACTCACTCACTCAGGCTGTAACTCTGTCTCTCTCTGGCCTCGCCCCTGCTCTGAGGACACACTTTAGAGCTTCATACTCATGCTCTGTCCTTGGTTCACTGAGATGTATTATTATTATTATTATTATTATTATTATTATTATTATTGTTATTATTATTACACATGGACATAAATGTTATTTTGACCCTTAAACTTACGATCCACTAAAGTTCACAGCACTGTACTTCTATTTGTGCGGTGTGGAAATAAGTAATAATAAATAATACTAGTCATCACAGTCTGAACTTGTAAATAATGTGATTAGTGGACACTGTAAGCATATTATTGTTGTTCTTAATCTGTGAAGGTTGTGTGACCAGTCATTACAGTAGATGTGATTTCTGGTGTCTTTGATGTGCAGGTCACTGACAGCTCACTTTGCGGAGGAGGGAGAGAGAAACTGGCTGAAGAGCAGGCTGCCAGCTGCCTCTGCCTGCTGCACTGGATCTCTGGAACCTGTTGCAGCAGGTTATGATTTCTGTATATCTTATTTCTGGGCTAAACTGGAGCAGTGCCAGACTTACACACGTGCATGCATGCACATGCACACACCCACACACGCACACACACGCACACACACGCATACACACGCACACACACACACACCAACACACCTGTACACACACACACACAGCAAAGATGACACTTAAGCTGCCAAGATCTGAAACTAGTCCATCAAATATTACTGTACACATTTAGACATGTGCTTCATTGCACTGCACTGTCAGTGTCAGGGAGACTCAATGAAATATACCACATCTCTGATAGGGAACAAATTTTATTGTAGACTCAGGTAAGTGTTCATGCTGCTTTAACTTTTGCTTGTGTGACTGTGCATGTAATGATTATTTAATTTCTTTTATTATTTAATATTTTCCTTCAAACAAAATCAACAATTTCAACTTTTAACAAGATTTTGAAAATATTGTTTATTGTTTATTGATAGTAGGGTCAAATAGCCATTGCAGGGTTTGGACGACAGAGTCAACATCAGTTTTGTGATGTACAATTGTAGTGAGTGATCTAACTAACTTCAACTGAAGTTACATATGCTATCCTGTTGACCTGCACTGTTTTTGTTTTTTTGTTTTTTTAACTTGTATGCTTAAGGTATTGTAAATTAGTTTCCTTTGAATGACACTTTGCCTTAGAACAATGTAACTCCTAAATAAGTGGATGATAATGATCCAACAAAAGGTTTTATTTATCAAGATTTTCCTAACTGGGGAATGAAGAGTAAGCAAAAGCATTCAGCGAATTGTTGGCTCTGGGAATTTTGTTATGAAGCTGGTGCCAGCACACCTTTAATTGGCATCTGCTATATAAAAATAATTTGCATACTGTGCAGGTTGAAGTCACATGCCACTGGCATCCTCTTGTTGAGAGGCCTTGTCAGCAAATGTACTGAATAATGATAGATCAAGTGAAAACATGTAGAACTGTCCAGTCATTTAATAATTTATTTTCAAACAGGTAGGTTTATACAGAAGTACTTGAAAAACAGCCTTGTAAAACAGCCATGCCCTTCCTGTGAAGTCTTATATTTTCTCCACACACTTGACTTGTAACATTTTGTGGTGGAGATCTGTCACCTGCTTGTTTCCATGGAAATGTTATTGCTTTGCCTGAAAAGTACCACAACTTGACATAAACCATGTTCCAAAGTTTGGTTTGAATGCTCTATTTCATGCAGATGTTGTACCTGCCACTAGAAACCTTATGTAGAGTTGCATTTATTCCTACTTTCTCTAATATATTGTATGTATTTAATGCAATTGCATGCTTTGTGTATGTTCTGGTATCTATATCCATGGTTGTCAGTCAAGCAGATGAGAGCACTTGTTGCCACAATATGAAATCAAAGGAGTTATTCTCAGATTTCTTCTCCACACAGTAGCTTCCTCTCATTATGTCACTGTGCTGTGTGGATCAGCACTTTTTGGCTTCATGTGACCAAACAGACACGCTTTGTTGGCACTTTTAATGAGACTTCTCCAGTCACAGTTTCTATTTCTGCAAGGGCCACGTGTCAGGCACTTTCACATGGAACAACACACTTTTCTTTTACTTTTTTCTTTTCTTGTCAGAGTGAAAATGAATTATTCTGCTCATGTATTGACCAAGATAACGCAGAAGAAAAAGTTGACCAGTGTTGGGAGTTCAATTCTAGCTTCAGAGTGTGTTTCATTTCTTTACTCCCCTCTCCTCCTACCCCCCAAAAAACAAGATAAACAAACTCAAAAGCTTACTGATATATGATTTGATCTAAGATTTCTTTTTCTTCCAGGAAGCTCTCCTCAAATAACACATCTACTCTTTTGCACATCCTGATAGCAGATGGCACACTCACAGGTACCCTCCTAAAGATGTGGTATACATAATGCTGTATGTTGTTTGTTTTATTTTAACATGTTCATGAATAGGCCCATCAACAGAAATTTGAGGACCCGGAGCAAGAAGCCTCACATTGGGCCCCCCTCTGATAATTTAGTAGGAAGAAGGTCCAATTTTGGCCCCCTAAAACCCTGAGGCCCAAGATAACAGACTCCTTTGCCCCACCATGTCTACTGCCCTATTGATAAATAATCAGTGTCTAAATTTGCTGTAGACGAACTCAAGCTTCCACCTTGGCCTAACTTTATGAACAATTTTGCCAATGTTGTTTCACACAGACAGAAGAGCTCAGTGCTGGTGTGTGCAGGAGGTCCAGTGTTGATGGGACAGAGTCAGGGCAGGTGCAACACTTCCACCCGTACCTCCCACTCTTCAGCGACAGGACCAGAGCTCGTGCCACTGTCCCACTGTGTCCCCCTCCCCCTCCTGCTCGCTGTGGACCCGACCTGTGCAGTCCTCACAGCAGCTCCTGGGCCAGTAACAACACTGTGTTGGTATGATTACGTGATCTTTAGCGATGCCAATTGGACTGTGTTTAAAAAACAACAGGGCTGTGTTTAAAGCAAGAAAAAACAGTAACAGCACAAACTCAGTGGGTCTGCTCAGGAAAGTGGTTTGCATGTTCTCCCTGTGCATTGAGAATTTTAGTTTAGAGAATTACTTTTGACATTTATTGTAAATGCAGCATTTTATTGTAAATAAAATCTTCGCACAGGGCTCTTACCCAGAAGCACCAGCTGTTACCACTGAAACGTCCTGCTTCATCTCCCGTGACTGTCTATCATTAAACAATCACTTAGAGGTAGTTTTTCTATTTATTCCTTTTTCTGTGGAGTTATTTTTTTGTATCAGTTTGTTCTAAACTTTTAAAAAAATGTACATTCTTGTCATTGTTAACATGCCTTTAGGTTTCATCAAAAACATACGCTCCGTCTAACCAGTGTAACAGCTCCAAATATTCTCTCCAAAAGTTTTCATCAGCATGTCAAGAAAGCCCCTCACAGTTCCCCAAACCCATTTACTCATACAGGTGAGAGAAAGTTCTGTTTTTAGTGACTACTCCATGTGACTACTCTATGTTGATTCTGTCTGCTAATCCCCAGCATTCTGATCTTTATGGCTCTGAAGAACAGCAAAACTGGGAGCCTGCCAGTCAGCGAGATCTATAGCTTCATGACAGAAAACTTCCCGTATTTTAAAGTAATGACACTTTTTTTGGACACGTATTTAATTTCATATTCCATATTTAATTCCAATTGTGGTAGATTTTTTATTTGCATTACTTCACCTGGAGGAGAGATGTTGTACTGTGCCATTTTAATTTAATGCATCATTCCAAATTTTTTTTCTGCAGAATATATTTTGTTGACAACCAGTAAATTTATAAAATAATAACCTATTTTAATGATGCACCTGCAAGTGAACCTCCGTTTGACCTTAAGATTCTTACAAAAATTCCACTTTTCACTTTGTGGAAAGAGCTCCAAGTTTTTTCATACAAGGAACTATTCTTATGGCTGCTATCCAAACAGCTGCCTATAAAATGAAATACCAGCTGCAGGGGCTAGGAAAGCATGAGAAAAAGGAGATCGTAGCCTAGAACCTGAAATAATGCCTTTCATCTAAATTATATTTTTTTTCAGACAGCTCCTGATGGTTGGAAGAACTCAGTAAGGCACAACTTGTCCCTAAACAAGTGCTTTGAGAAGGTAGAGAACAAAAATGGGAGCACTTCTCGTAAAGGCTGTCTATGGGCCCTAAATCCAGCCAAAGTGGACAAGATGCAGGAAGAGCTTCACAAGTGGCGACGCAAGGACCCAGGGACAGTACGTAGGAGCATGGCCAAACCAGGTTAAACTCAAAGACATATCAGCTGTCATTAAAATGCACTGTGTAACTTTTCTGGTGAAGAGTCCATCACCTGCTTGTCTCCATGGAGGTGTTGATTCTTTGACTTAGAATGTGTCTCAATATGTCATTAAACTTACACATGGAGACACAGTTCCAGGTCACATCTGTGGACAGACAAACACATAATGATACATAGCCAAAAACAAACAAATATAACAAACCTAATTGAAAGTATGCAAGTTAAACAGGTTATGACATCCTGCATTCATATTCATGGAGACACACAGAGGGGGCGGATCCTCTACCAGAAAAAAAAAAAAGTCTATAACTTATATGTTGATTTATTTATTTTATTTCAAAAATGCCAATGCCAATTTATTTTGTTTGTCACAGAAGATCTAGACCACCTACTTGGGGGAAAGCCAAATAAATTCCGACCACTGGCCACTTGCAATACCATGTCTCGAGCCCATATGTACTCCACCGCATCATATTATAGCTCAGAGCAGCCCAGGCCTTCATGCTCCTCTTACTCACAACATTATCCAAAGTCCCACTACCACTCCCTCTCTGGCCCTCTTCCCGACCTCTCATACCCCCTGTGCCCTCCCTATAGCCAGCATGTATCACCCCCCCGCTGCTTGAAGATGCCCCCGGCCTACAGCGAGGCTCTTCATGATGGACACAGTGGTAGGAGCATGTATGACCTGCTCTTGGACGGAGACACTGGCTGTGATGTTGACACCCTCAATCCCAGCCTGACTGACCTGCAGCTGCAAGGTGAGGATGCTGTCTTAATTTAATATAAATGAAATAGGGCAAAGTTTGGTGAATAAACCATTTCTATGAGCATTAAGGCACAAAATAAACAAATAACAGAAATTTATCTTGTTGAAAAAATAAACCAAATACTTAAATACATTACTTGTCTAACTGTTTTAAGGTGTCAAATTGGCTGTAATGATTAAAATGCAGTATTTTTACATTACAATGAATAATGCAAGTTGTAAAGAAATACTGGTGAATATGGTAAAGCCTTTTCTTGATATCATTTCCACTTCTATGTCATGTGTATGTGAAGGTAGCTTATGGGAGGAGTTAAAGGAAGACAGTGCTCGAGTTGTCCCCTCTTTGAGTCCATCCACAGTGGAGACTATTACTGAGCAGAGCAGCTACCTGCAGCCGACAGTATCTTCTACCCTTGAGGATGTGACCAGCTCAAACAAGGCCCATTATGTGGACAAGGATGCTGATGGGCTGTGGGGACAAGACCAGAACTACCTGAACGGATACCCCCTCGGAGTATATTCTGGAATGGAGAGTTTTGCTGGAACTCTCAGCTCCTGTGCAACCTCTGTCTCCTTAATATGAACCAATTTCCCTAACAGTGTTCAGTCTCTTCCCCCACATGCATATTATACCACCACAGTAACAGTGTTTGTACAGCTGCTCATGTAAATATTGCACAAACTCCATTCTGGAGATTCCTCCCTGTTCTTCTGTATCATCTGTGTCCACTACTGCAGCACCATCAGCCACCTCATTTACTCTTCACCAACAGTGAGGTGCCTGACAATGAAAACACATGAAAAGATTGTATAGTGAAATGCATTCTGGCAAATGTGATAAGCAATGACAAATAGAAAAAGTAAATTTCTGTGGCATTGAGCACTACAGGAGCTACATGTTTCTATTCTGACAACCTGTAATGACATGATTGATACAGAAGATGGCAGTAAAGGGAGACATCAAAATGGTCTTATTTACTTCATAAATACACATATCTATACACATATCTTTAAACTCTTGTTTTTCTGTAGCAGTAAGATACATGTTGGGGCCTGATTAAGCAATATATTTTCCAAAATATACTTGAGAAATATGATGACTATGCCGTATGTTTGTGCCATGCTTCTATACTCTATATACCTTAATGAACAGCAACCATGTCAAATTTTTGAAAAATTCCTGTTTATTGCATTGATGGAGATCAAAATTTTCCATTTTTTTTTTTTATTTTTTTACATGAAACATTTATAGGTAAAGTATGCACAGTGTCCAGTACTACAGAGTACATATTACATATCAAAACTGGAATGAGCTTGGTTTATGAATGTTGTCTGACACTAAAAAAATGTCTATTTATTGAAAAATACTTCTGACTTATTTATACTATAAAGATTCACACTGACACAGGACATGTTTCTGAACATACTGGTGGATGTTTGTTACAAAAATCATAAATACAACATCTGCATATGAAATGTTTTGACAATTCTGTTCAAATGTTCAATACATCCCACTTGATTTAACAGCATTTCGTGCTTTTAAAAAAGTATCTGCATTTTTGTCTTTTTTGTTTTCTCTGCTTCCTCAAATGTTGCACAAAAACTAGTTATTTGTTACACGCCTGTTCCATTTTAACACTCTGGGCTCAACTATAAGTACAGACAGTACATGTGTTCACTGCCCACACACTCTCCCATGCATACACACACACACACACACACACACACACACACACACACACACACACACACACACACACACACACACACACACACACACACACACACACACACACACACACACACACACACACACACACACACACAGATGACAGCAGAATTCAATGTTCCTGCAAAGACAGTGAGGCAGAGGGACAGATCTGGTTGGCCAGGCAGCTGAACAAAAATAAAATGTACTCTCATGAGTATTCCTCACTTTATTTGTCCCTTGTCTTTACATGGGTCTGGAATGTAGAAACCTGTAGTGAAGTGAATATAGACAGTGCAGTTTATCCTATGGGCCCCCACTATAGGAATAGTCTGCCTTGTTGTGCATCACCAGCTTGTTGTCCACGAAGTAGAAGCTGTCGGACTGCGTCTCGTATGGGTGCAGAATCATCTCACGCACTTTAGGACACAGAGCACAATATTTAACATTTGTGAAAAAATGTATTCTCTGTTTTACGCTTTTTAAAATGTGACTCAAAACTTACTGATTTCCTCTGACAGCGCCGGAAACTCGTATATGTGCTCGCATGTGTTTTTGCTGCTGGGCATGCAGAAGCCAAACTCAAAGTCAAAGCTCTTGAGCAGCTGATCGCGGAAATAGTGCCTCTCGATCATGCGAAAATTGTTGATGGGCGTGTCTCCTACTGTGAACTCCACTCTGTAAGAAAATACAAGCAAATTAATCAAAAGTATTTTATTTTTTAAAACATACCATAATGCAATGCTGAGCTCTGTGTTTTGGTGTTACCATAGACATTAATGTTCTATCAGAAGAGTATATTTTCAAGACTCAAGAAAATCATTCATAAATGCTTGGAACTGGCATAAGGATTACATTGTGTTTGACATTTGACAGTTCTAAGAAAATGAAAGAAGACTGAATCTGGGCATGATTTCTAACTTGTAACAAATCAATATGTTATTTAATGCATATGCAGTCAAATGCTATGCTGTAGCAACAAAAGAAAAATATTTGAGAATTGTGGTATGACCCAAATGAGCCAGCAGGTTTGCTCCATGTAATATACAGAAAAAAATCATTAAACATGTACCATATGCAAATGTAAGCTTGGGTGGACTGACAGAAGCTGCCTGTCAATGAGTAGGAGTTGAGAACATGGACAGCAGCAGTACTGTCTGACTCACAGCTAAACCCATACACCCCCCATCTCTCCGTGATCTTATAGAACAAGTCCGTAATGTATTTGATGAGAAACGCAAATTAAACCTACGTTGCTCCAACTTGCCGCAGCTGTAGAAAGGCTGGGGTAAACTGGTACCGCACAAAACGGCCTGCATTGGGGTCACACTGCTTCCTACCCCCTGCTAAAAATAACACAAAAGATGATTAATGTTGGGTATTTTGCTACTGATTACTGATTTGAACATAACTTCTGGGCTATACACAATGCAAACAGCAGGGCATGAACCTATTGTGTAAATAAGTGTGCATTTACCAGGTGTTGGGGGTTTGGTAATTTCAAATAGGACCGTCCCAGTTTCCATGTCCCGGATCTTGAACCTGGTGAAGTCTATCATGTGGACATTTTCTTCAGGGGAGCAAAGGTAATCTAAAAAAATAAAAGAGAGAGTTGTTAGGACAGTTATTCAATCTACAATAAATACCTATCTGGAATTAAGATGGATTAACTGTCTCTTGCTGAGGATCCACCAACTGCTTGTCTCCACAGAGATATTATTGTTCTGCCTGGAATCTTCCACTGTTTAGCATTAAAACTTTTCTTGCATTTATTCACTTGCAATTGTTTTTATTGCTTAAGAATTCTTTGAAAATTCATTTTTACTCTTACTGTGAATGGGCTTGCCTCTCTCAACATCTGATTTGGAACTTAGCCAGGGGATGTCACTTAATTATCTCCATAGGGAAATGTTTACTGCCATACTGTGGCACATGACAGATAATAAAGTAACATCTCCATGATGACAAGGAGGTGGTGCAAACCCTTCACCTGAAAAGTTACAAAGTGCAATTATAAAACCATAACATCTGCAAATTCTGCTTCTTGTCATCTCCTTTTATTCTTCTAGACATATTTGGTTGTCACTGAAGCTTAAACATGTGATCAGATGAACTATACACACAAGCAATGCACGGCGTGTGCATGTGAGACTCTTCTCTACCAATGGTCCAGGATTAGACCTAAGAGGCTTACTGTGCTTCACCATCACATGGATTGACTGGTTCGGAAATGGACGCTCACACACACGCTCCTACTGCATTATTAGGGTATGCTTACGGCACTTATTACTGGCACAATATGTTATGCAAGACTTCAGTGTGCTTCCTACTGGTAACGCACATTGATGTGGACCCAGGTAGAAGGTTTTGGCAACCTGATATAAAAAAATACATCTGTTTATTAGAGTAAAGCTGTCTGCACGTGTTTCTTAGAGCAGGAGAACAGATGGACAGACTTTGGACACCTGCTTGTGGTTATTTATAGATGTTTTCATTGAAGTTGCTATACCTAACATGGGTATAAATGTATCTTTTTAAACAAAGCCAAATGTCAACATGCAATCCACAATTAAAGAAGAAGATATAGTAGGGGAGAGAGGTGTGATAGAGGGAAACTCAAAACTCAAACATGCAATAATCAATCAAAATACAAATCTGATGGAAAAACTGTTATAACATGGAAGCTTATAAAAGTCGATTTCATATAATATGTCCCCTTTAATGATGTGCATTGCAGTAAATTGATAACAAGCAAAACAAAACATTCTGTTGCCTTTCTGGTGGTGGACTCTTTGTGATGAAAATGCAATTGGCTAATATTATTTAATAAATTTGATATAAATAATATATAACAAACCAGGCAAAAACACAGAAACACAGAATAGGAGCTTAGAGAATGATACAATGCAATTTCTCTTTAATATAGAGCCATTATAAAGTATCTATCTATCTTATAAGTAACATTTTATATAGTATTTGCAAAACAGTATTCAAAGAGTATGTCAAAATGTATAATTCAAATCTAATTTTTTCTCTATTCTGGCACAATAAAGACTTAATATGATCGTTAGGAAACAGTCACTTGGAGGGTAAAATTAGCACTAACACTTGAGTCATGCACTTGTGTTCAAATGGAGCTGTCTAGTGTCAAAGAGGCATTCAAACAGAGAAAAGAGGCAGCCATTTTTAGAGCCCTAATCCGAATAAGATTACCCTAGAGGGAGAGACACTGCACAAAGAGTGACTTCACATGTTACTGTTGACACTAAATGAATGGTGCAGCATGGTTTGAAGACCAGTATGGTGCCCTGTTTTCACCTCAGAAAACTTGTAGCTGTGGGGCGCTAGTGACATTAGCATTGATGATGTACGGTGCACCTGTGTCTGACAGGCTGCTTCATGTCTGACAGTGAACAGCTCCTGTAGGCAAACTGGCTCACTCTGCGGGTCAGGCAGAGGTAAACCCTCCACAGATTCTACTCTTTATTGGTCTGGGCAAAGACACTTTATTACCATGGCATATGCAACCACATCATAAACTTGGCCTTGATATGGAAATATGGACTGGAACTATATTACCTAAGGTGGAGGATAGAATCAAAGAAAAAAAGATATAAATTTTGTCTGGAATAAAACGAAAACACTCGGTGAATACGTAGGATTACAAATCATACTTACTGAAACCAACTCTACAACTACTTCTACTAAAAATAATAAGTACTAGTATTATTTAACTTCTATTAGCACAACTGTTAGATATTCAAATTCCAGCACAGTTTCAGAATTGAGTATTATTCCCAGGATATCAGTCCAGAGTTTGGCTTATAAATTAAGATAATTAATAGCTAAGACAGTCTTAACGAAGAATAGCTCAAAATTTGGAGTGCCCACTGCTTCCAAGAGGTTGCCCCAGTGCCATTGAAGGATGGGTCAAATGCAAATAGGTAAATGCCTGTTGTCCAGATTAGATTATTTTAGATTTACAGTTAAACAATGCACAGAATAACAGTTATGATGTGTTTTGTGATTTGATATAATTTCTGCTGTTCTGGGGTCAGCAGAAAGTATCACATTTTGGTGATTAATAGGCTCAATTACATAATATGAATACTAGTGCATGGACCAAGTGTTCAAGAAACATAAAAAAATGCTTTCTGATGTATGTGATAGTCTGGGATATGTCATACTTTAACACATGGACACTTAAACTAATTTGACACTTCTCCAGGCATGTTTAAAAGGCAACAGTTATAGCCTGTAGTTCTGTGCACAGCAGACAGGGGGTACTACACTTGACACCACTTTGTTATGGAGACAGGTGAGGGATTTTATCCCCGGGCACATAACAGTAACTCTGCAGATTTATATCTTGCCAGTTTTTATATAATGCCTCACCTTACCTCACTTCTCCTTCAAACAGTCAAAATGCCCTTGAAATTGTCTCATAAATAAATTATTTTGAAGTACTGAAAAACTAATTCTATATTGCAAAGTAATTACAATTAAAATAACTACAAAGCAAATATATAATCTTGTTTTATTTTTTGTCAGATGTCTAGAATCATATTGTTAAATTTACAATCCACTAGTAATAGAATAGACTAGAAATTAATGTCAAATACTTCATACTAACAAGATGTGCACAAGGTACTTAAAGATACATTTGCAAAAACAATGAAAAAAAGAACACTACTAGTAAAGTCATTTATCACTTAGAATACTAGAGCAGTGTAACAATGCAAACCCCAGCTCTGTAGTCACTGTATCATATATCAGTTGTGATTCATTGCTTAGCCCTAATGTTGATGTTCTATACAAATGCGAGCAAAAAGAACATGTATGGTATGTGACTCAACAGCTAAAAATGTGCTCTTGTTCATGAAAGGGTTAAATTTGATTTGGGCTGAACGCATTATCTCACAAAACCACTCATTTACTTGATCTATCTTTGAAGGCCTGAAACACAAACAATGAATCAGCAAATTGGCTTGATAATTGATGTGCTACCACAAACCAGTACTTTGTCAGATTATTTTTTTGAATGAGTCCCTTGTGAATCCTGTGCAAACGATTAAAAGACAAATATCAAGTAGAAGTGTAAATTAATGGAATATTGGTAGTGGTAACTGGAGTGATTTTATTGTTGCTTTTAGATTTGTTTAGATTATTATTTTTTTTATAAACTTGTTAATTGTGAACATCCAAGTGTTTGGGGAGTATAAACTCTACTGTAAGATTCACTTGTCTGATGAGCTCATACTATCTCCCTACATTTAGTCCATGCGTCCTCCATTCCTCTGGGATAACCTGTCTGGAACAGTGGCCAACTACAATGCTGCATCCAGGGATAATTCTGCTTTATATTTCTTAAATGCTGGTATAATTAATGAAATGACCTTCTAAATGTAACACCTCAGAGCATATCATTTATTCAAAAGCTTTCTTAGTATTCAGTACTTACATAGACATAGTATCCTAATTTTGGATAACAGTATCTCACATGCATAAGACATCTGTCAGGCCCAGGCATAAATCATATGATACAAACCTTATTAAAGGAGAGTATTTCATACTTTGTCCTTTTGTGACAAAACACTATGCATTACTTATCAGCTCTGAACCACTGTGTCCAAGACAGCTCCCCCCAAAACACAGAAAAGTCATATACACTGTCGGGTCCATTTTGTCATTTCAGACTGCTGCTTTAATCCCATCTGATTCTGACTTTCCGTTTACTTTTATACACTTATGGGATTAATTACCTGAGGTGAGGTGTACTCTCTTACAGGCGTCCTTACATAATCCCAGATTACATGTCAGCACAGATCATAGATTACTGGACCATCAGGACTGGTTTAGGCTTTATGACACTGATGCTCTAATACTGATGCTTTTCACCAGGAGCGGACACAAGGTTCTGGTTGTTCTGTGTTTATGTCTTGTAACTATATACGATATACTCATTCTCATATACTCATTCATGTTAGATAGTTATTACTGTATCTGTAACTGTATATGATAATGTTTGTTACAGATTACGTGTTGAAAAAGTGGTTGAATGTGAATTTTAAACAATACAGTGCAAACAGACATATAATGTGAGCCGGTTGATGATTTAGCCTCGGTTCCACCTGTTAGCTAACCACAGGTTAGGTCAAAGTGTAGGATGGTCTGTTCTGAAATAATCTGCCTGTATGTAGGCTGTGTCTTGTAAATCTTGATTCCCCAAACTCTCGTACAGGAACTAGTCCTGAACTTGTGAGTGTCAGGGGATAGACGAGGGGCATAAATTGGCTGTGTCGCTGTCCATGGTACCAAAACCATAATAAAGCCCAAACAACAGGCCAAGGCAAAAAGCTTCAAAATGAATTCAGGCAGACAGATGTCACCTTAACACAGTCTGCTGTGGCAGTCACAGTCACATTAACAGCAGGTATGTGGTACTTACTCTTAGTGATCTTTTGCAAGCCCAGCACATCTTCCGGTGTTATGACAGCGTTTCTGCGCAGCTCCTCCTCGGTTCTTACAGGGATCCCCATGTCTGTCGAGTTACAGCCTTGCTGCACTTTCATATCCAGCGAGGAGGGCTGTTTCACCTGTGTGGAACCTGTTAAAAGCTCTGACTATTCGCTGCTTGGCGTCCCTAGGCGCAGGAGCCAATGGCCGTGCGTCGGTGGCTTTTAGACGCCTTGGTTTGAGCTAACACACTGTCAGGCTAACAGGCTACAGGCTATCACAAGAATAACTCATTCTCCGAACCTCCTCCCTTTCTCGGTCCGGTAAAAGATCAAAATCAGCCCTTAGCTCCCTCCCCCCTTACCCAAGGCTCATCTCACAAGCAATTTAATCCAAATCCCACGGCTTTACAGCGAGCACCAGTGCGTGGCTCACCGTCTGCGCGTGTCGTCATTACGCGCACACAAATGGGATTTTAACTGCAATAGTAAAATACAATACACCGCTCTGTAGGCCTACACTTTACGGGCTGTTTCCAGATTACACAGCAGCTTGCAATCACGCCAGACTGAAGTGCAAAGGATACTTCATGCTGCAAGTGCAAACCTAGTGAGACAATGCACGTGTGGTTGAAACACAGACCTTTTTGTCACTGAATAAGAAAACAAAGAAAAGGGAACAAAAAAGACAGTTTAAATAACAGCTTCATAGTTTTATTCAAGAATTTGCTTTAGATGCCAGCATCCCTGAGAAAGTGTTGCACATTATATAGACAGTAGTCCCATCAATGATCTAAAACTGAAGGGAAGGGGTCATGTGATCACTTAGTGCTCAGTGCTCACCAACCGTATTTACAAACGACTTGTACTGTCACACAAAGAAGACAGCGCCTCCTGCTGTATGATGCATAACAACGCGTGCGCAGACTAGAGAGCTGTCCATGGTAATGAAGACTGCCTTGTTGAGGGAGCTGAGTTTACAGATTGTAAACAGGCTTGGGCATCAGTACAAATATAAGCTTTAAAATAAATGAATAAAATAAACCCTTCAGCTGTATATAAAAACAAACAGCAATAAGGCCTATTATCTGCTAATTATTATAGAAATATATAATGTATGTTGATATGAGATATGTAGACAGATTTTTTTTTTTTTACTGGCAGTCCATTTTTATCTATTACCACTATAAATTTAATTAGATGAAGAACTTCCAAAGAGGGGCACACAGTACACTTGTTACTTTTCCCCTAAGCAGTCATCTCAAAGCAGCCCCGGCGGTGCGTCTGCATGTCCCTCACCCTGCGGATGGACTGGATCTGAGGGTGGTGGGCTCCCCAGTCATTCCAGTGCTTGTACGGACCCATTTCAAACACATACTGGTACCCACGATAGCCTGGGTACTGGTAACCAACCCAGCTGTAAGACAAAGGGCACAGATAAGGGGTAGGTGAACACTTTTGGAGAGTCAAGCCTCAGACGCAGGACAGTATAGGATTATGGAACTTTAACAAAAGATGCAGCCTCACACATTCACATTTAATGCCTTACATCACAGTTATTACTGCTTAATATGTACTCACGTTCCACCTGTAACTTGAATGCTGGCTACTCTGTCCTGGAATCCATAAGACCACAGACTTGGTATATCTTCATCGCACACTTCCATCTTACGGCCCTCAAAGTTAGGACATTCATACAGGCAGATTTTGTGGTCTTGAGGATCCTAATGAAACAAATCAATTAACCTTCTCTAAACTGAAAAAGTCCCCATACATTCATAAGATTTGGTAACATATTTGACTTACCATGCGCATAGGCCGGACAGACATGAAGCGGTCACACCTATGGCTATTGGACCAGGTGTCCCAACGTGGGTACTCTCCCTTCTCTAGTATGAACATCTCACCATTCATGTTTTGCTGCTCATACCCCACCCAGCTGAAAGAGTGCGCACATTTATTTATTTATTTAAAGATCTCACAATATACACCGCCCCTCCAGTGATATTGATAGTCATCAAATTTATCTCAGTTGTGGAATGAATGTATGCACTCTGGATGAGCATGATACTTACGGGCCACATTCTACCCTGATAGATCCAACTCGATCTAGACCTTTCTCACACAGGTTACGGCACTCTCCAAACACATCAAGCCTGCGACCCTGAAAGTTTTCAAACTCATAGAAGTATATCTGCCGGGGAAGCCAGACAAAGTTAGTTGGTGGTGACATGTATTTAATTAATTAATCTCCAACCCAAAACTATTACTTACCTTGTAATTGCGCATACCAATAGCAGAGTGGCTACCTATGCTACCTTGAGCCCCTGAATGAGACATTGTGAGATCTACAGAGAAAAGAAATACACACAGAATGTCACTTTTATTTTTAAAAATACAAATAAAACATTATACAATTAAGCTTTCTACAGATTGTATATAAACACTGATCTATATACTATACTCTGTACACTGATCACAACTGAAATTCAACAACTGAACTGGCTGATCATAACGTTAATCTTAATAAGAGTATAGTTGATAGACAAGAGTTGCTATTTCTTATATAATTACCAAATATATTGCAGTTTTGCTCTGAGTGTTATATTTTCATATTAATTTAATATTCAAAATAATTGTTGACTTACGAGGTGCAGGGTCAAATGGAGAAAGCGATGGACACAGGCGTTGTCACAGACAGGATATATATATACATTCACATCCACCTTGATTCTATAGAGACACATTTGACTCTCATTGGTGGAAACCGTTTTGGAGCATGGTGCAGGGTCAGGGGTCATGCGGCTAATCTGTGGACTTGTGCTGACAGAGCCACATGTTTTGTTCTCCCGCAACACTGTGAATGGGAATAGTTGCCATCATCAGCAGAACGTTGGCAGGCAATTGAAAACACAGTTGATTTATACCGATAAGCATTTTTCCATCTTATTTTAGTTCAACCATTATTATTTATTCTGTTATTTCTATGGTTTATTCTGTCTTTTAATGCAGCTATTGTCACAGTACACACCAAAGCCTACTCATCAACTCTAGTACTATGCTGCATCAGTACTCACCATCAAGATAAAAAACAAATGTAAATTCAAACTTTTGTCACCACATCACTGAAAAGACAGACATATTTCATCTGCACGTTCTTCTTGTGATTATGCATGCACCTCTCACTCATGCTGTGCACTGAAGTGAAAGTTACAGTTGTCTTTTGTGTCCCGTTCATGTGGTCGTGGCAGTGTGCGCATGACTGAGCTTGTGTTCACAGGAGGGACTGAACAGTGGAGCATGCAAATATGGGCTGTAGAGACAAGATGGTCCTTACTGAGAGGAGCAGTTACTCAGTAACTCAGTGAGTGCTTTGATCACACCTACATTTTAAATACACCCCATTCATTTATCATTCATAGTACTTTTGATGTATGGTTATTAAAGCCCTTTTTCTTTTTTTTTGTCTTTTTTCAGGGAGCATCATATCAGTCACAAATGTTGTAAAGTGTTATGTGGCACATTAGTCTTGAGAGCTTGTTGGCACTGTGTCCTCTAATGAGTTGAACTGCAGCACCCTAAAGCCCAGTAGATCAGTGTTTAACAATGAGTGAGACAGTAATGTGCTGACTCCTGTCCTGACCCATATGCCAGTAGCTTTCACCAGCAGCATGTATAAATAGGTCTGGATAGACTAGGGCCAGGGCGATGTTTAGTGGAGCCGCTTTGAGGTAAGCTTTCTGTCTCAGGCTATTGTCCCTTTCAAGCTTCTGTGTTTGTGGTGTTCACATAACCTATACATGCCAATACTTGGGAGCTCACACAGCTTGTATGATGTGCATATTGTACTGTGCTCACCTATGTTCTTTGAGTCCTGACCTCCAGTGCCTCTTTTGCAGCCTGCAGTGAAGGTGAAACTTTAGCAGAATGGCTCTGAATAACCCCAAACCACTGGGACCGTGGAAGGTGAGTTTGAAGTATAATGCTCAGATTTCTTTCCAATGTGCCTGCTCTGATGACAGTACTGTCTGTACACACCTTAGTGTGTGTGTGTGGCATGTGCATGCTACATGTGTGCATTTGTGTCCTCTGCAGATCACGGTCTATGACCAGGAGAACTTCCAGGGGAAGCGTGTGGAGTTCACCTCTGCCTGTCAGAACATCATGGAGTCTGGGGTGGACAATGTCCGCTCCTTGAAGGTGGAGTGTGGAGCGTAAGTCATTCGAATGGGCCTAATCAGTTTGTGGACATTCTAAATAAAGGGTTATCATGTTCTTATAGTTATGTGTGTGTGTGTGAACAGCTGGGCAGGATATGAGCACTCGAGCTTCTGTGGCCAACAGTTTGTTTTGGAGAGAGGAGAGTACCCACAGTGGGAGTCATGGAGCGGCAGCAACGCCTACCACATCGAGAGATTGATGTCCTTCCGCCCCATCTGTTCTGCTGTGAGTTTGTAGACCTTTCTCCTGTTTTTGTACATATTGGCATTTGCCATCATTTTTACACCAAAATTAATTTACAAACGAACACTTTGTTTTATAAAATAAAGAAATCCCCCACACATACCACATCTCTCATTAATTTAAATATGTTTATGTTTTGCATAAAAATTTTTTATGTTTATAATGTGTGTATGATGTGCTCACAATAAGCCATTTTTCAGAGCCACAAAGAGTCCAAGATTGTGTTATTTGAGAAGGAAAACTTCATGGGACGTCAATGGGACATAAGTGATGACTACCCCTCTCTGCAGGCAATGGGCTGGTCCAACAATGAGATTGGATCTATGCAAGTTCAATGTGGAGCGTAAGTTATCTTATTACATCCAGAAACAGAAAAGACCGACTGCAAAAGAACTACTTGTTACCCACTTGCTAACTGTGCTCTTGTTTAGTTGGGTGTGCTATCAATATCCTGGTTACCGTGGTTACCAGTACATCATGGAGTGTGACCATCATGGCGGCGAGTACAAACACTACAGAGAGTGGGGCTCACATGCACAGACGTTTCAGGTGCAGTCGCTGCGTCGGATTCAACAATGAGCCCCGCAGGATTCCCTCTTTGCCTTGTTTCTTGTCTCCTCCCTCCTCTCCTTCTTCCCATTTCTTCATTCCAAGCTCCAGAACCTGGTGCTTGACATTGTTTACAAAGAAGCTTGTTGTATTCTGGTGCTAAATTAAAATAAAGGACAGATTATTGGTTTTAAAAAGGTAATACTGTCTGGTGTTCCATGGCTATAATAAAGAAACTATTACTTTATACTCTACCTTGACAGACACAAATATTTTTGTGAAATCCTTGTGGCCTCTCTTTGCTCTCTCAGTTTGTATTTGGCTAAGAGAATAAATTAATTCCTCTTGTTTGAAATCCCCTATCCTGTTGATAATTTATTTTGTATTGGCCATTCAAATGCTTGTAGGGTGTTAAACGTCTGATGACACAGGTCATATTTTTTTTTCTTTTTGCCAGATAGCTCTAATTCAATTAAACAGGCAACAGTTGCCTCGGAATACAATGCTTGACAATTTATAATGATATACGGGAGATGTAGTAGGGTTATAAAGAAGCATATCAACTTTTATATCATTTGTAAATGGAAATGCTTCTCTGTCTATTATTTAGATAAAATGTAATTAGCTATTTCTAAACATAAGTTACACTCACGGCAAATTAAACGTATTGTACCACTTTTAAAAATGACGTCAGCGCGTAGCCACGCCCATTCAGAGGAAAAAGGAAGTACATGGAAACACCAAGAGCAGGCCTGGCTACTGACCTCACTCAGCCAAAATAGCCTGCTCTCTGCGAAGCAAAGAAAGAGAATATTTTATTCTTGGGTTCCGGCGTTGGATCATACACTCCGAATGATAAAGGAGTAGTGGATACTTTATCATGGCGCACCTTTCCTTAGCCTTCCCATCAGCGCCGAAACTGACTCTCTGCTTTCTGCTCTTTCTCCTTGTCTCCTGTGTTGACGCTATGGTACGAAAAAGTCACTCGACGACAGTGGCTGGAGAAACTTATGGGAAATACTATAATTATGTTGAACTAACTGATCTCCTTCGTTCTTTATCTCAAAAATATCCTTTAATAACCAATTTGTCCAGCATAGGTCAGTCTGTGCAGGGCAGAGAGCTCTGGGTAATGCGTATAACCAAGGACCCCCACACGGACACACCGGGGCTGCCCAAATTTAAATACGTGGGAAACATGCATGGCGACGAGACTGTGTCCAGACAGGTGTTGGTGTATCTGATCGAATACCTTTTGGCCAACTATGGCGAGGAGCAGCGTGTGACTGAGCTGGTGAATACAACTGACATTTACATCATGCCCAGCATGAACCCTGATGGGTTTGAGAAGTCTAAAGAAGGAGACTGTGCTGGAGACAACGGGGGACGAAATAATGCCAAAGACTTTGATCTTAATAGGAATTTTCCTGACCAGTACGCCGAGACAAACGTTAAACTAGAGGACGTCCCTGAAGTTATGGCTATGATGAGATGGATACAGGAGAAAAAGTAAGTTTATCAAAGCAATGTGTGTAATATTGCTATAGGGTATGAGTAGACCTAGGGGTCCCTAAACATGCCATTTTTATTATAGAAATTATGGATTACAAATTATTGAAAGTCAGAGAATTCATTTGTACGAATACATACTATCTTAACAGTTCTTAAAACAGAAGTGGTAAGATCACTAATGGTGTCCACATGACATTGTAGTTTTCATTGCAACACATGATGTTGAAAACTGGACTACCCACTTGCCCTTATCAGATGTAAAATTCAGGAAGACAGTAAGCATCACTGTACTGACAATTTCAACAACATTCATAATAGGATTAAACAAAACATACAATAGGATTGATGTAATAGATATAGTATCATTCAGTACTATCCTCCTCTAATCTTCTATTTCCAGACTAAACTATATTCTTGCTGTCTTCAGGTTTGTTTTGTCTGCAAACCTCCATGGAGGCACAGTAGTTGCCAGTTACCCATTTGATGACTCAGCCTCCCATGAAAGAAGGGGCCACTACAGTAAAGCTGCAGATGATGATCTGTTTCGATACTTGGCCTTGGTCTATTCCTCAAACCACCCTGTCATGAAAACTGGTCATCCCGAATGTCCTGACACACAATATGAAACCTTTAAAGATGGCATCACCAACGGGGCTGAGTGGTATGATGTGCCAGGTAAGTGAATCATCAAAAATAAACCTGTATAGAAGGTGGTTCTTCAAATTATTGTAAAAACTGCTTCAACAGTTCACACTCCGCTCTATCATCTAACATAGTGTAATTTTTTCTAGGTCAGTATGTGATACTGAACACTTAGGCAAAATACCAGAGTTGCTTTGTCTTGAAGTTGTGCAGCTGGTTGTTGTGGAATTTTATTTTTGCTTTGAATTCCTTCTATGTTGTGTTGCACTCTGTTTCTTGTTGTTGTGACTTCTCAGAGCATGGCTGGGCAGAGACTGTATTTCTTAATTCATTTTATACATTGAATAAAATAATGTGTTTATATAGATAATCAGGGATCAGTGACTGCAGTGGTTGTTTGGTCAGGCGTTTCCTCAAGGCGTGTCACTAATTCCGGCATGGACAGGATATGTTAAATCATTGTTTCAAAACAGAAGTGTTTTGTGATTACACCAGGGAGCTGTATGGTTTGATCAGGGATAAATTTCCTTCCAATAATTACGCCAATGTAGTTAACATTATTTGTTAGCTTTGGGTGGTTTAGTCAATATACCGTCTCCTGTTTTTCCAGCTTCTTCAAATTGGACTGCTGGAAGGGGGATTAAATCTTTGCACAGTCACCCATCACCCTTTTTCCAAATACGTTTAAAATGCATGATCCTTAGTTTAGCATATTGTTCAAATACTAGAACAATTTGTCTGCATGTACTAATGTTTCACACTGTTTGATTGCTTTAATGATGCAGTTATTTATATAGGCTATCTATATGCCTTTGTCTTAACTTAACCTGTTTATTGAAATGCAGAGGCTTTTATTGTTATTTGTAAGTGTATTCCCTTGGATCCTATTTACACTATGGCTACATAGTTACCAACAGTGCTCATCTGAATGTGTGCATGTGACAACAGTGGGCTGCCATAACAACCTTTAACCTTGGAGACACAAGCTGCCATCCAGCAGTTCCCGGGATACTTCCTGCACTCTTAAAGCACTTGGATAAAACAGCAATTTGATTGGCAATAGCCAGGGCCTATTTCCATTAAAACGAATAATGTTTTCACTGCAGTTTATTTACACTACCAACTAAAGCCATTCTTGAGCATTAATCTTATACAAGTTGTCTGATCATGTATACCTATTAAAATATTAGTTTGTATTGTGAGTTACAATGATGAACATAAAGCTGTGTTAAGTATAATTATTAAATATTGTATTTATCCAGGTGGGATGCAAGATTATAACTACCTCTATGGAAACTGTCTTGAAATCACTGTGGAATTAAGTTGCTGCAAGCATCCCAAGGCTGATGAACTCCCAAAAGAATGGTCAATGAACAGGGAGTCTCTGTTAGCCTACATGGAGAAGGTACAGACTAAGCTCATAGTAAAGGTTAATAGTTTTATTGTCCATGTAGTCATGTTTTTTTTCCCCTTGTTGCCTTTTAGGTCCACATTGGAGTTCGTGGATTTGTAAAAGAAGCAGTTGGAGGTGCAGCACTCACTAATGCAAACATTATTGTAGAAGGAATTCGGCATAATCTGACAACTGGAATGTATGGAGACTATTATCGTTTACTGCTCCCAGGAACATACAACATCACAGCTATGGCACCTGGGTGAGCACTGACAACTGTTTAAACTAGTTTTGAATTATACACATACATCAACGTGAAAATATTTAGAGAAAAATACAAATTTTGTGTTTGTGTCTAATTTATTATATAAGCCCTTCTGAAAAACATTTTCTGGTTGGGAGCCTGTTTTTCCAGTTGTGAAAAATGTGATGTTTCCTTGAACAGGTACATTTCAATGACAGTCCAAAGTGTACAGGTCTCTAAAGGCAAGGCCACAGAGCTTAATTTCACCTTGGCGCCTATCAGTGAAACTGCAGCTTCGACCACATCATCGCCACCAATGACCAGTGATGCAAACATATCCAGCATTACTATGGGCTCAACAAAATCTGCTACAAACAAATCAGATTCCTCTGTGGATAACAAGAACACGCCTCCTGTATTACCAACTCAGCGGCAGCCAGTCCAGCCTCAAGAATTTCGGCATCACAACTTTGCAGACATGGAGCTATTTTTGCGCAAGTACAGTAGTGAGTTCCCTGATATCACTCACCTGCACTCTGTTGGCCACTCAGTAGAAGACAGAGAGCTTTATGTGATGGTCATCTCAGATAATCCCAAAGTTCACGAACATGGTATATTTTATGTCACGCAGCAGTATGCACTTTTTTCCTGCTTTCACATTAATATACCTAACTTTTTCCATGGTTCTTAGGTGAGCCAGAGTTTAAATATGTGGCCAACATGCATGGCAATGAGGTTGTAGGCCGTGAGTTAATGCTTAACCTCATTGAGTACTTGTGCAAAAACTATGGCACTGATCCAGAGGTCACTTCTCTGGTCAATAATACTCGCATTCATATCATGCCTTCTATGAACCCTGATGGCTATGAGATCGCCACAGAAGGTAAAGGAATGCATCACAACACATGAAAATTTAAAAAGTAATTCTAGACAGAACTAAGAATTGTACAAATAATTTATTTGTTTCAACAGTGTGCATTCATATTTTACAGGTGATGTCCAAGGGTATAATGGTCGCAACAACAGCAACAACTTTGACTTGAACCGCAACTTTCCAGACCAGTTTGTCACTATCACAGAGCCCAGACAGCCAGAAACGACTGCTGTAATGAATTGGCTGAGGAGTATTCCTTTTGTTCTGTCAGCAAACCTTCACGGAGGTACATACTTGTTTGTCCTCTTACTTCCTTTACATAATTTAACTTAATTTAACTTCTGACTCTGTTGTGCCACTCTGAAACAGGTTCCTTGGTAGTCAATTATCCTTACGATGATGACAAAGAAATGGTAACTCAGTACAGTCAGTGTCCCGATGATGACGTCTTTCAGCAGTTGTCCAGAGCCTATTCACAGGTAATTTGAAACTGTAGATATTTGAACTGGTAATGACTGCTTGTGGATTGATTTTACAATGAAGAATAACATGTGAAGACTGATGGGGTAGATGTTTTTAATACGTAACTACAGTGGTATTGTTTTTCTAGAGTATGCATGTTTTTGTGTGCAGGAAAACCCTATGATGCACAATGGTCACCCTTGTGAGAACTTGTACAAAGAAGAGTATTTTACGGAAGGTATCACTAATGGCGCCAACTGGTACAATGTGCCTGGTAAGCAGTCCTTTCCATTTTCATTCTAGCTTTTATCTTATGTCATGCGTGCATGTTAAGTCATACAGCTGATAAGCACTGCACGTTGTGTACCCATGAAATATAAGAAGAGGTAGTTTATCTCAGGCCAAAGGTCTGAACCGACCTCTCAGAGATTCCCATTGTCACTTCTTATATCAGCTTCATGTTTCAAGTTTTCAATATCAAGTTTTTAAAATGGTGATATTTGATGGGGTGAAAAGCATTCAGCATGGTATAATAAATAACCACATTTCAGGTGGAATGCAAGACTGGAATTACTTGCACACCAATTGTTTTGAGGTGACAATTGAGCTGGGCTGTGTGAAGTACCCCTGGGCTAAGGACTTGCCTGGATATTGGGAGCAGAACCGACGAGCCTTACTAAAGTTCATACATCAAGTAAAACCCAAACTCGCATCAATTTTTATAGCTGTCCAAAGCCTCAGGTCTGAATATTCTTGCATCTGTTGTATGTTGTCAGGTGCATACAGGTGTGAAGGGCACAGTGTCTGACATAAGTGATGGCACAGGGATCCCTAATGCCACTATAAGTGTTCAGGGCATAGACCACAATATCACCACTGCTCTAACTGGTGACTACTGGAGACTCCTGATCCCCGCAACATACTCTATCACTGCGTCTGCTTATGGGTAAGGACATTTCACCTAAAAATCAAACAAAACTATGTAGATCTTTATTTAACATTTATTTATTTTCAGGTATGAACAAGTAAAAACTTATGCTACAGTTTCCAAGGATGGAGTTGAGGTGGTGGACTTCAGATTGAAACGCCTCCACTCTGACACTAATAGACCGGCTCACAGCGGCCCTCAGCCCACTCAAAATCCATCTGAGAAGGAATTTCAGAGTCTAATCAAAGAGCTGTCTGTGGGACAGGGTTTGGACCAGCTGGTGAAAAACACAACCACAGAAAGCAGTTTCCGATACCGCCGTTATAAAGAGATGTCTGGATTTATGAGAGGCCTTAATCTTAACTTCCCTAAAATTACATCTCTACGAAGGTATGCGATAACCATTCATAACTGTAAACTAATATGTGTTACCCTTGTTAAAATACTGTTTTTTATGTGTAGTCTTGGTCAAAGTGTAGAGATTCGGACCATCTGGGCTCTTGAAATTTCCAACCGACCAGGTGAGGCAGAACCATCTGAACCCAAAATTCGATTTGTAGCAGGAATCCATGGCAATGCCCCTGTTGGAACTGAGCTGCTGCTTGAATTTGCTGCCCTTCTGTGTATCAACTATGGCAAAAATCCAGCCATCACTAGAGTATGTTTCAGCTCATGAGAAGACATGATTCAACCTCTGAATGTAAAATTGTGATACAATATTTGCTTATCTTGTTACATAGCTCATTAACAACACCCGGATTGTGATTGTGCCTTCAATTAATCCTGATGGACGAGAACAAGCTATTGAAAAACAATGCACCTCTACCCAAGGTCTGACAAATGCTCATGGCAAAGACCTGGACACTGATTTTTTTGGTAAATTTAAAATACATTTGGTGATAATATCAGCCATATGCTATTGTTTCTAATCCTTAATTGTGAATTTTACATTTCAATTTTACGTTTTTACATTTAGGAAATGCCTCTCAGCGTGTTGTAGAACCCCAGCCCGAGACCAGAGCAATGATGGATCTAATTCAAGAGAAAGGATACACACTCTCTATAGCCCTAGATGGAGGCTCACTTGTTGCTACTTATCCCTATGATAAGCCTGTCCAGACGGGTAATACCTCATTCTTATTAAAAGTATTAGAATTTTTTTAAAGAGCAAATCTTTAATTTGATAAATATATGGGGACTTTGTATCTGTTTTAGTTGAAAATGAAGGCACTCTGAAGTATCTGGCTAATGTTTATGCCAGGAATCATCCGAAGATGCACCTTGGCAACTCTGGATGTTCTAATAATGGGCAATGTATGAAACTTCCACACATACTAGCAAGTAAAAAAAAAAAATCAAGCAAACCTTTTTTTGTTTGTTTTGTTTTTGTTTTATTTTCAGCAAGTAATATTCCTGATGGAGTCATGAGGGCAGCAGAGAGACAGAGTCACATGGGCAGTATGAAGGTTTGTACAATTTTAACTCAAATGTTAAAAGAATTTGGGCTATCATCAGGTTTTGGTTGAGCTCAAAATATATCTTAAATTTTATTTCTCCAAAAGGACTTCAGTATGGACTTTGGTCACTGTCCTGAAATTACAGTGTATACAGGCTGCTGTTTATTCCCCCCAACTGACCAGCTGGCCACCCTTTGGACAGAGAACAAGAAAGCGCTTCTTAGCATGCTGGTGGAGGTAATATTTTGGTCAAACATAATATAAAAACTTAATATTAACCAGGGAATTAAAATATCCCTTTTTGACCAGGTCCACAAAGGGGTTCGAGGTGTTGTACGAGATAAGAGTGGAAAGCCTATTCCCGGTGCCATCATAGTACTAAATGGTGGAGTTAGAATTTTTACTGGAGAAGGAGGATACTTCCATGCACTTCTGGAGCCAGGCAGCCATAGCATTGAAGCTGTGGCAGAGGGCTACCAACAACAACGTCAGGAGGTAAACAGTGCCAAAAATATTAATATATTTCAATATTGTTTGTTTATCTGTTCAATGTTTAATCTCTGTAGTTAACAAACACATACATGTAGGTAACAAAATAAAAATGACAGTCCCTGACATGTTCATAAAGCAAATGTTTTTTCTTTTGAACTCTGAACTGCAATTAAGAATACTTTCTGTATTTCTAACCATAAGAAGATGGTTCTGTATCATCTACATCTATGAACGGTGTAGGTTGAAGTATACAAAATCTTTCAGTAACTTCAAGCTTTTTATCAGGCTGCTCTGAAATATGAAGTGTTGGGTAGGCGAGTTCCTCAAAAAGGTGTTCTTTAATTGTCCGCCCCAGTTGAAGGCTGTAAGGAATGAGTTTTCCACAAGAGAGAAGGAGAAGAGGGTCTACCACTGAATGATAGGTATTCTGGTACTCCGGTACAGTGAACCCATGGATCAGAAGAGGCTGTGTCACTGCGGAAGTGGGTCTGCTGTGTTCCTTCTGCACATCTATTCTGGGCAAACAGAAATCTGGAAGAACCGCAGCATTCTTTATATAACTGTTCTTTAAGGGCTTTTGGGATTCAGCTTCACTTTCAATGTCAAAAGTATATTTTGATGCCAACATATAATGCCTCTTCTTAGTAGTTTCACCATACTTTTTTGGACACCGAATAGTATGTCTTAGGCCATAGGGACCCATATCACACTCCTGCAATTTAATTAGCAATCAGTTAATTTGTGTTTGCATTAATAAGTTTACAATGATGAGACACTCACCCTTTTTCAGAAACCCTCCATGTTTGCAGAAAATCTGAGTCAAGCACACAGCTGCAGCTAATTGGCCTGTTATGTAGCTTTGCTTGTGAAGTTAAACCAGAATAAAACACTGAAGCATTGTCCATATGCAAATGTTTCCTTCACCCTATGGATGTTATTTTCATTTCTTTGTTTTTCAGGTGGTTGTGCATTCATATGATGCAGCAAACTGGATATTTATTGAGTTTGACATGGACAATAGCATATTTGGGTTACCAAGAGAGTTTGTGGTTGCTAGTGCAGGTAAACATTCATCTTTACAACCTCATGTGTTCCACAAATTAGTTTGTTTTTAATTTCTGTATATAAATTATAAACATATTTAGAAACAATTTCATAATCCCATTATCAAATCTAACTACAAATTAATTGCCAAAGAGAAGCTGATTAATATTTTGTCTCTCCGCAGCTGCATCCATGACTGCATTAGTGGTGACAGCGTGCATCATATGGTGTGTATGTGCTGCCAAATCCAACCGCCAAAAAGACGGGTTTCACCGTCTGCGCCAGCATCGTGATGATTATGAAGATGAAATTCGGCTCACGTCAATGGGCTCCAAGAAATCCCTGCTCTCACACGAGTTTCAAGATGAGAGTGAAAGTGACGAGGAAACATTATATGCCAACAAAATCTGACCGCGCTTTGAAATCAAGGGATAACTCTTCTATCATATTCTTTTATTTCAAATTGAAGCCCTTGTAACAAGGAACTGATTTATGATTATAAACTGATGGTGAAAGATGCTGTTTTCAGCATCACCACATGTGACTGCTCACTTTTCTACTGTGCCCACTGGAGAATTCCTTTTTAACTGGTTTGCCTCCTGATTAAGAGGGAGGCTTGGAATGGATGACATTGGAAGAATGCTGCTCGTTTCCTGATCAGATTGACCAACTTGAACTAGATGTTCCTGGATTAAAATAAACTGCTCAACAATTGTTTTAATTTTGAGAATGAACTCTCTGGAAGTAGTGAGCAGCTATGCCATTTAAAATATTTAATATTTCCTTTTTATTCTATACTGTGCCTTGGCTTTTGTAACATTTCAGCCTGATTGGGATTGTAGTATGTAGTCAGAAAACAAAACACTTGTTTTTCATGGGGTGGACTCATGAAAAGTAATGATTAAATTATTATTTTTTTGTTGCACTGTTTCTGTGCAGATGCTGTGTTCGCCATTGTGGGAAGGCAATTTCCATCGCAGAATGAAAAAAATATGAATATTTCTAAATTTGTTAAAAACTTAAATTTAGGCTGATATGGCTTTCAGCTGAACGACAGAGAAGACAGACTGTGCATTTGTTTTACATGTCAAATGTGTGAATGGACTTTGTGTGATGTGAATATTTTTATATGAACTACTGGAAGCAGATGTACAGATCTGCATTTGATCATGTCAAAGACACTTTTTGTAAGTTTTTTTTTTTGTGTGTGGTCATCATGGCATCATGTTATTCAGAAAATAAAGATTCAGGTCGTGTTTAGTAGTTGTGTTTTTTATTGTTATAGTTTATATATAATCCCACTAGATGTCACTGTTAAGAAATGAGTAATATTTGTGTTTGCAATCGGTGTCATGTGACACATCCCGGAAGTTGGTGACGTCGCAGAAAAACAAAGATGGCGGGGATAGGGAACAGTGGCTACTGGGAAGGTAAGTCCGTACAAAATGTACTTGCTATTCTCTTCTGTCTTGACATCAGTTGGGTATGTGCTGTAGTATCTGGTCGGTGATGTCTCGGATCGTGTCAGTGTCATTTTGCTAAGTGTGAGTGTCTGAAGGCAGGTCGGAGACAGCAGGCTCACATATGACACACCGTTCAAGTTTTTGTTAAGCTATTAAATCAGTATCGCTCCCATACGCGGGTTAACAAGTGAAATTTAGTCATATTGAATATAAGTACATCATATTCAGGTTTGTTTAGAGTACCATTCCGCAGATAAATAAGGCAAGTTAAACACATTATTTGACAGTCGCTGTCAGCTTGTGGTGGCCCAAATGTTTCATCTTTAGTGTTACTTCTCACACAGATCTCCGGAAACAGGCGAGGCAGCTGGAAAACGAACTCGACCTGAAGTTGGTTTCCTTCAGTAAACTCTGCACCAGCTATAGCAGCTGCAGAGATGCACGCCGATCAGACACGTAAGGCTTCCACTGCACAGTAACACTGTTAAAGGTGCACGGAACTTTTCTGGTGAGGGGTCCGGCTCCACCACCTGCTTGTCTCCAAAGAGATGTTACTGCTCTGCCTGGAATGTTTCACAGTATGGCATTAAACTTATCTATTTTTCACATGCATTTGATCAAACACGTTTGGATTCTATCAGCGGAGTCTTCATAGATTTGACCTGTAATTTGACCCTGTGGTATCACCAGCTTGACTTTAACTATCTCCATACCTCTAAAGAGACAAGCAGATTGCAGACCCTGATCCAGAAAAAAGTGCACCTTTAACACAGATGCAGATTAGTGCTACTCTTACTTTCTCTTGTACAAATATGGACAAACTTATGTTCAAGGGAGTGGTCAATGATCATCCAGTTGTCATTCTTTTTAATAGAAAGTGGAGGCATACTTTGCACTGCATTTGCTTGTATTATTCTGTGGATCTTCTCAACACAGCTCTGACACAACGCCTCTACTCAACAACTCAACCCAGGACAGAATGTTTGACACAATGTCAATGGAGCTTGAACAGCTGCTGGCAAAAGTAAGTCTGATGTACTGGCACATAGCAATAGTTAAAACATGTGCACTAAACTAAAGGCGGACTCTTTGTTCATTCAGCAACTTTGCATATATGCTTCAGTCTCTGTTATCTGCTATCACTCATTCTTGTTGTTCATCCCTATATTATTGTTTTTTGCAGCTAACAGCAGTGAATGATAAAATGGCAGAATACACAAACACACCTGGTTCAGCATCTCTTAATGCTGCCCTTATGCACACTCTGCAGAGACATAGAGACATCCTACAGGTTTGTTCATCCACCCTGTTGATTTCCTTTTTATTGCGCAGTTGTTGGTTAGTCGTTTTGGATTTATCATTACACATTTTTTACTATACTGTGTTTTCTCTTTTTTTCAGGATTACACACATGAGTTTCACAAAACTAAAGGCAACTTTCTGGCCATCAGGGAAAGGGAAGATCTGCTAGGGTCTGTACGAAAAGATATTGAGTAAGTAACTTTGTGGTAATTCTTTATTCTTTGTTGCATAGCTCTTTTCTTTGACCACATAACAGGATGTGATATAATAAATTTTAGTGGCTATTTGATTTATCAATGTAGTAGTCATCTAAAACACAACCACAAGAATAAGTCTCATTACATACTGTATACATCACTTTATACATTTAGCAGTAGTCACTTAGAAGCTAGAGGGCAGTAGAGATCCAAGAATTAACATAACTGTGGCACTGTTCTTGTCTACATTAATAATATTTTGCAACATTCACTTTCTATCTTATGAAATCAATTTAAAGTAGAACTGACCAATATTAAATGTATTATTGAGTTACCAGATTTTATTTTAATGTAAAGGTACACAAGCCTATTTAGACTCCACACAAAAGCAAGCCTGGTCATGCCACTGATTAATTTTGATAAACCATAGATTTTAGAAAGAATGGTTAAAGAATAATTTAATAATCCATTATTCACAAATAGAGAAGACTGTGTCATAACATTGATTTTATAATAATTAAAAAACTAGTTGATAATACTAAAAGGTCAAAAATTACATTCTTGAAAGAGAAACGGGTTCAGTATTAGCTTCACTGTTAACCTAAATGTTTTATTCATTTGTAGCTGACTGTTCCTACCATGGTTTACCTTAAACTTATTCTCAATGTTTCAACCGTTATTATAAACCCACATTCAGGTCTCCAAAAGCAGAGGTTAACCATAATTATCTGATTTCACATCAGTAGCTTTGGTACACACTTTTGAATGGATGATAAAATTAAAGAAAGATGATTTATATATAATCTACACTATGTATTCTGGATGTCTTTGTCAACCACTAAAATGTTTTTGGTGTTTTTAGTATTAATATGTAAATACTGTACATAATAAAACTGTTTTTTCAGGACATATAAAAGTGGGTCGGGTGTCAACAACAGACGAACAGAGTTGTTTCTTAAAGAACATGAACACCTCAGAAAGTAAGTAACTTGTGTTGTTCTTTGTCAAGTTTTCCTAACAGTATTTATAGCTTTGACATGAACACTTTTGTCAAGATATGCTTTGGCCACTACATCCCCTCTCAGCAATTCTAAATTTTATATAGCTGCCTTGTTTTGGCAAAGAAACTATGGCCATTTTTTTCTTGCTTCTCACACAAGTTAAGGCTGAGATAACTCATCTTGAGCTTTTTGAAGAACACTGAAAATCTTGACTGATTCTGTGGTATTTTAGCACCAGTTTCAATAATGCAACTTTGATTTTGAAAATGTTTTTGAGGCCATTGTAAAAATATCCCACTATGGTGCATGTGAGTGTGAGGTTATTTGTAAGTTTACTAAAAGCCTTCTTTTACATCATCTGGAAACTTTATATGCCAGGAACTAGAAACCGATGATTTTACAATTTCCTTTCAACCCACACATCATGATATATCACACTAAATACAAAACACCTTGCTTTATTGGCCCACATAATTCACTCAAATCACTTTAGCAATGTGAATTAATAGATTCATAATTCTAAAACATTACATGTATAACCATACTTTGTTAAATATGTCATTTTCTTGGTCTGCTTTTTGTGGAAAAAAGTACTACATTTACATGACTGCAGTATAAACTACTTGCAGTTATATTTTCTGGGGTAAAAGCAGTACAAGTTTCTGCTAGTTTTGGCTTTTTCTCACAGCAGGTATCCTTTCACTTGGTTGTAATGGCCGATGGTCATGAATAAACTAGAGGGTGCAAGTCCATTAGAGGTTCATATTGGAACAGCTTGTTCCCTATGCCACTGGTCTTTGGAGTGACTCGGCTTAGAAGACTGCATTTACACCATTTTCAAGTAGCGTGGAACAAAATCTTTATTTTAAATGAAAGTGGAAAAAATCATGAATGGATCATTCTGCTGTCACCTCTTTTCCTTATGGTGTGACTGAGCTAATATTTTGTCTGATATGCTAATGTAATAAGAGAAGAGCTTAGGGCACTTCGGCACTGCTGCTATAATAAAGAAATCCTCCTTCCATATCTGTATGAAGTGCTTCTCACACAAAATCATATTTTATATAAATTTGTGGTTTTAGCCTGTTAATGTTCTAAATAATATAATTGTTTTTGTACTTGGACATGTAAAATGTATTAAAATGTTAGAGTAGCAGATGACTCTTAGCGGCTGATTGAAAACTGCAGTACAAAGATGTATGGGTTAGTCAGTATTATAGTGTTGCAGTGGGATCTGAATGAGTGCAGGGCCTTGATTTGTGACCACTGTTCTTGGCTTTGCAGTTTGCAGCGGATGCCAGCCTTGCCAAAGCCATTTTCTTTGGCAAAGTAATGAATGTTGCAGTTTGACATATATATCTTTGTAGTCCTGTGTTTCCCTTAGCCCCAACCAGGAAGTGTATAGGCATTGGAAAGTAGTAGTCTAACTCACCAACTTTTAATTAAAACACTACTAAAATTTTAAATACTAGCTTTAAGTATTTTCTCCTCCTTCAGTCTTAACAGATGCACAATATTTCAAGAGTATACAATCCAAGGACTCAGTTGTATGTTTCATTTTGTGCTGTACTGATTTTGATAGAAAATGCCATGTGTCATTTAAACATGTTAATGACTGTCATTGTGACAGTCATTACTGACCAGAGCGGATGCAAGAGGCCCACTCAAAGTCATAAGCTTAAGCAACTATTGTTAGCAGTTTCCTCTTTGCAACAAATCTGTAAAATCATGAACATATAGCACCTTTCAAGAAACCCAAAGTGCTTTTTACAATACTTTTATTCATTCAGTCCACACTGTTGCGTCTAACCATAACACTATACAAGGGTGAAATGACGAAAGAACATGGTGCGTGTGGGAATTCCTTTGACTTTTGGGTTATGGGACCACTGCTCTGAATCCTGAGCCCCTGTCTCCCCTCTCTTACCGCTATTGTCTTCCAGTTTCCATTACCAGTATAATTTGCAAACCTATTTTCACACTCCATTCACTCGTCTTCAGTTGTTGTAGTTCACCACTCTGCAGTTTATTTTGGTCAATTCTCCAGATTCTACATTAGGATTTAAATGACTGTAGATTCTCCCCATTAGTAACCATTTAAGAACCCTGAAAGGGCTCTTTAAAGTCATTACCAAAGCAAATAACACACATGAAGATGAATGTTCTGGTCTTGAAATGCTCTGCTCCCCGAAGAGCTGTTTGATTAATACGACACCACAAGTGTAATCTGAAGAAAAGCAGCTTTCTGCTGCAAAGTCTTCAACCTATGTGATCCGTTTTATTTGATCAGTTAATATTTTCTTAAATCATTGATTCAGTTCTCATAATATTTGACAAAATGTACATATGGCACTTTATTAGTCTTCCACACTTATTTGTACAAGTACCTTGCCCAGGCCTCTCCTTGATAAAGAGGTTGGTTAAATAAAGGTAAAATAAATACATTCAAAAAACAGTACATTTGTTAATGTAAAGATTTTTTTCTTAGCTTAATGGTACTGTTTGTCAGGTTTAAAAACATTGCCCAAATGTGTCCAAGATTTATAGTAAATAAATAATAAATAAATAAAAGTTGAAATCTTTGACTAGCCTGCATACAACACCTTTAACAAGGAAAAGACTGTAATTAGAAAGTAAACAGTTGTTCAAGAGCAACAAGAGACCAATGTCAGATCATCTCTATAGAGCTGATGCCTGTAAGGCCTCCTGTGGTGACAATCTCTAGAGCTTGTTGCATTCCCATGTGAAACTTGTATTGTGTAATGTGCTCACTTTCACAACTCAATGTCTTCTTATTTTTTGTCCCCTCTAGTTCAGAGCGACTGATAGATGACACGATAAGGTAAAGCCCACTCACAACCTATGTGTTTTGTGGTTATAAGAATCCTACAGTACTGGGTTGAAATATGAAAGTATGTCAATATTAATAAGGCTGTATATTTGGGAAAATGTCTTCACTTAAAGGTGCACAATGTAACTTTGTTGAATGACCAGCCACCTGCTTGTCTCTATGGAAATATTACTGCTTTGCTTGGAATGTGCCACGGTATGGCATTTGACATACCTACCTTGCTTTTATTCAATTATGGGTACTTTATTGCTCACAATTACCTTGACAATTCAGTTTACTGTGAGCAAGGTTGCTTCTCCACAGATCTGCTCTGCAACTTGGCCTGGTGGTGACAGCTGCTTGTATCCATGCAGTTAATGCTGTACTGTGGAACAAAGGTAAAACAATACATGGAGACAAGCAGGTGGCAGACTATCTACCAAAAAAGTTACAGTGCACCTTTAACTCATGAAATATAACTTAGTTTTTGGGGGTGGCTTATACATTCTGTTATGACACTTGGCTGTGGCTCAGCTGATGGTGCTGCAGTCTTCCTGACGGAGGAGAACATGATACGCTCTGGACTAGGGCAGCAGAGCACACATCTATAGGATCTGCTATTACCCCACCCACATTCACTTTGACTCAGACGTTGCCATAATATTGATTCTTATGTACTCGCACATTAGTAATGGTTTAACTTCTGTTTGCACTTTTGAAACTATTAAGTCAATGTCAACTGAGGCACACCACAGCTGTGGGAAGTGCACCCCTCATGACTGCAGCTTATAATTATCATCAACCATAACAATGTCATGACCTACACAGTTGTGTAGGGAAAGAAATGGTGTGTGTGGTGCTGTTGTTTCACTCCATTTGCACTTTCTACTCTAGTCATCATTTGTTTTTTCCCACAGTTTGATTAGGAATTGTATTGGTATACCATTCTACTATCACAGCAAAGATTGTGCATCTAATGAGTTTATGTGATGGATTTATGGATGATTAACAACTTTAAGAGCGATTACAACTGTATGTTGTGTTTATCATATTTTGTTGCTAATTGTGGCAAATTGTCTTTCAGTATTGCCATGGCAACCAAGGAGAACATGACATCCCAGAGGGGTGTGCTGAAGTCCATACAGAGCAAAGTCAACACTCTGGCTAGTATCCTTTTATTACTGCACACCTCTTGTGTGCTGATAAAAATTTTACCAAAGATGTATATATGACATGCTTAACCCTTGAAACTCAGACCGGTTCCCGACCATCAACAACCTCATCCAGCGAATCAACCTGCGCAAGAGGCGGGACTCTCTGATCCTGGGCTCCGTCATCGGCGTGTGCACCATCATCCTGCTGCTATATGCTTTCCACTGAAGTCTGAGAGACCATCGTACCAGAGACTGTTTAACTGTGCATCGCTACAGGGACTTTACATAGTTCTTGAAGAATCCTGGAGACTAAACATGTGGACATTTGGTCAGGATAAATCACTGAGCTTTGTAGGGAGTTGGTGGTTCTGACATCTGCCAACATGGGACTTGAGACCAAAACTACACATAATATTAGATTTTAACCAGTTTGTGAGACTGAGACTGTGAAGAGAAGGATTGGATGGAAGGATTTTTAGTTGACTGGTCCTTTTTAATTGGGGAAATGGGGATGTATTGCGGGATGTAAAATGTGAATTAATAAATTATTCATAACTGTGTGTGACACTCACTAGATACTGTTTATTTTTCAAAATACATTATCTAAACCATTCTTGTGTTTAGACCTTTTTGTCTCTGACTGTATCTTGAAAAAAGGGCAGCTCAAACGTGTGTGTACTGGTACTTTTGCCAGGTTAATACCAGGAAAAAATGGTTCTATCATTTGGAGAAACAAGAGACCTAATTTACTAAGTAACAAGCCACTATTTGAATGCAGTTTTATTTCTATAAACAGATGCTCAATTTTGTAGTATCACAATATTTACGCTTATTCGGGTGGTTTTCCATTTTAGTTATAAAACCAATTTGTACAGGTGAATGCTACCACATTGCCCTGAATCTCATTTATTATAGCTCGCCGGCAGAGCTCCTGTGTTGACATTGACAAATGATAACAGTCCTCCCAAAAGCAGCCTGCATGTACAAATTTTAATAGGAACAGTCCTATTTTAAACGATGCCACTAAAGCTTTACAGTTAAGATTCATGCTTATTGTACAAAGCTCATTTGCAGCACTTTGATATACTACCTTTTTCTGATTTATTTTTCAGATCAACAGAACTTGGAACCTTTGCATGGCAATGTTTATTCCAGACATGCACAAATGTACAGCACATATGAGATCAGTAACATAAAGAGTTTCAAACGGGAGAAGAAGATGGTAAGAATCGAAGCATAAAAAAAAAGAACAGAGCTAAAGAATTTGACCACCGATTTGTCTTTAATTCTTTGAGATTACATATATCGCTTAGTCTTTGGATGTTGCTGTTTTAAGGTGTCACATATGTACAGGGAGAACAGGGTAAATACATGGAAATGCTTGGCCAGTGACAGTTTTAATATGCTGCGTAGTTAAATAGTGTCAAACCTTATTGAGCTGGTGATTCTCAATATTTCCAATACAGTACCTGTTAATCCATTGCAAAATGGTGGGGTCATTTTTTTGTTTTGTTTTTTTGTTACTGACTTCAAAGTAAATATCCTATATACACAATATTTTAGTTCTGATGTATTCTTGTAAGCCCTTGAATACACAATGAAGTATATTATGTATAGGCTATAGTTTAGTCATGTTAAAGGGGAGATGGCTAGAATAGAGAATATAGAATGCAAGAGAAAGTGATTTCTTATGGCTCACATGGGTTTACACTTACAGTGATAACATGTGCTTTTAGCAAAAGCCTGGTACTGCCAAGAGGCTACAGCAGCTGAGTTAAATGTGAGTGTAGAATACAGACAGTCGTGCTTGTATTACTGTAAAAATTTAAATGCTCAATGTTACACAGTGAAACTGTATAGCAGATTAATTTACAAAAAAAAAAAATGAATGAAAAGAAAGTTTGACCAAGCATGCATTCACATTGCATAGAGTATATTGCCAAAATCAAAACACATTTAAGGTTAAAAATACCAAAACAGTGATTGACAACAATCTTTTGTTTCTTGGGTTAACATTATAAATGTATGCAAAACGGCAGACTTACACTATGTGGAATGAAGAATCATTTACAAAGTACATTATAAAAAGAAAATTGAACAGGCAGCAGTCACTCCATCAGGTAAAGGATATCATGCATTGTCAATGAGAAGTCATTCATCTATAGCTTGACATTATTTACACAAATAAGTCACACTATAGTTCCTGTGCAAACCTTTAGCCTCTCTGACTTAACAAATGTCTGTAGTACATTACATTCAAACATGCAGTTGAATCGCCCATATCTTATAAATTCATCACATCCCATGACCACCTCACTCACCCTTACATTTTCAGTCAGTGCCACCCAGCACCACTTGATATTCATATTAAAAAAAGTTCAAGGCTATATAGTTTGTATTTTTGTAACAGTAAATGCACAAGTTTTTACCATAAGTATTTGCATCAGTCCAAGGTTGGAAATTCATTTGGTTTTCCCCCAAATGTTCAAAAATGTTGAGTTGTCCTATTGTACACATGAAGAACATTTTTCCATTCCATCTATTGTCTGTTTTGATTCTCTTGTTTTATCAAGCATACAGTATATTGTTGTATTTCAACACATGCATTTCATTTTCTCTGAATGTTTTTGCTTATTTGCTGCAGTAAAGTTAAGACTGAAGTTTTCAAAATCCAAAAGAAGCTGTGGTAAATGGAAGAGCTTAAGACAAGAGTCCAGGCTTGTTATTGTGAAGTCCAGTATAATGAAACCTTGCTATTGCGCATGGTGATAGTAAATCATAGTAACAAAAAATATGTTATTTTTCTATTAAATAAACAAAATAAATACATAATATTCATTAGTATCACAATGTCATAAAATTTGGCAAGCATGTATCCCCATAGGATGTATACAAATAAATCAAAGCTAAACTGTAGCTTGATGAGTTGTTTTTGCAGTGGTTATTACAATATACATATTTAAAAAAAAAATCACTCTTGTTGCATCCACACTACTTCCTCCATTTCACTAAAAAAGACCAAAGAAGACAAAAGGCACACGTTAAGGTCAGATTGAGACAGTGACAGGTTAAATCTCAGTGCTGCAGTCCAGACCGCAGTGCTAAATCAATCTACACACACACACACACACACACACACACACACACACTGCTGAGAATGTGCTGAGCCTGGACACACTCTCTCATGCTCGTGGGTTGCGATCATATATCACTCTGTAATGGTAATGCAGTAGGCCTCCGAGTGGAGCAGCTTTGTTTAAGTCAATGGTGTGAAAGAATGTGTACAGTTGTAGCTATGGTAATTTCAACTAATTTAATGTCTGTTAGATAAACATAATTCTGAATACCTTCGTGCATCACTATATGACTGTTATAAGACTGTGAGGTTGTTAAATGATGTAGAGAAGAAATAAAAATATTTCAAAAACAACAACAACAATATTGTGGGAGGGGGGGGCACTTTCTCCTGAAGATATGGTCTTTCTTTTTATTTATATTCAAGCCTGTTGTTAAATAAAACATTTTCTTAAGGTTGTAGCTAGAACTGTACTTACATACATAATTGATTTGTGTATGTCACACCCAACTATATGATAGTAATGCCAAATCTTTCTTGAAATGTTATTGCTGAACTTTTAATCACAAACTGGATGCGGTTACCTGTAACAAAGACTATGATGCCGAGTAGGCCCAGGCTGATGGACACGATGCTGAGGAGGCGAGCCAGCCGCCCCAGTCTCCGAGCGCCATCAATGTCCCCGTTCTGGAGACTGTTCCTGGACTGGATACAACACAACAATCACCATTAGAACAGTAGGAGAAATGTAAAATGAGATATGGGTTACAAACAATCTGAAACACGTGTGGTTCTTGTATTCATTTGGCAGTTCATATAGATTTAGACTTAGACCAACTTTATTGATCCACAAGGGAAATTACGTGGAGTGAAAGAAGTTATGCCATTACAAGGTTTTGTTGGATAGTTGACTGGTCTTCACATGTAAGTGTATTTTTTTCAGTTGTTGGGCTTTGTCATTGCACAGAAAAATTCATGCCTCAAATACAAATTATTTTAGTATCTGCAATATACCATGCTAATTTATTTTTCTATATTAAGTTTGCAGTTATCAAAAGCTCACATCCATTAACTGTACAACAATGTTGGCTTACCCCTCCAACAAAAAAATGAACAATAATTTATCCTGGCACTTGAAGCTGAGACTAGAGAGATAGAGAGATGTGACACTGTTGAATGGACCGTGTAGCTGTGGCCTGGTGATACAGCTGTATTTCACTTTGATGCTGAATGCATAGCTAACCTTGGTGCAGGTGGGGAGACAGTGTGATTTGTTTGAGCTATGATAGATGGGCATTTTCAGTTTTGTGCTCTGCTCTCTTTCCTCAAACACCCAATGCTGTTTCCACTGGGCTTTAAATTATGTTCTGCAGTTATTGGGATCAGATGAGCCAGTATGAAAACAACAGGAAAAAGCAGAGATCAATTTATAATGCACAAAACAAATAGATATGCAGTATTATAGGGCTCGGGAACTGTCTATGGTGCTGAAATTAGGAAACGATATTACAGCTTATGTTTCACTGAGTCATGTTCCAAGAAAACCAAGATCAACAAATGGCAACCTTACAGTGTTGCATATATCTGTATTTGTAGCATGAATTTTTCCATTCAGGGGTGAAGTGCAATGACAAAGCCCAGCAAATTAAACAAAATATACCATGTGAAGACCAGCCAACTGACCAACAAAAGCCTTGAGATAACATTACTTCATCCACTCCAAAAACAACCAGACTATCTAATCTACCTTTTCTGTATCTCCAGTGAAAATCAACTTAACAATAATTAACAATAACTAATTAGTGGACTCTTGTGTCATATCACATAACCATAAGATGTAATACTGATAGTCTTCTGAATGTATATGTTTAGTTATGACATTCTGCATTATAATGCTGACTAAAACTGTAAGAAAAATAGTTAGTGGTCCTCAATATCTAGCTATGTGTGACAGTAAATGGGAGAAATTTGGGGAGGACACACTTCTCACTTGAAGGACTGTGATGTGAAGCAGTGGGACAAACTCAGTCTCAGGGGAAGAGGAGCTATCGATCTGGACTCACATGGCAGAGAAAAGGCCGCCTCAGCACCTTGAATCGATGCTCACAGTTCCTCTTTCAGGAAACACACACTCTTCAGCTGGCACTCACACCAGATCTAAGGCAAAACTTCAAATAAATCACTGTTTGAATGGATCACTAAAGCTTATCAAATCAGAAGAATAGTGATAAAAGTATTTTGTACGCCATAAGTTTTTTCAAGATTAAAATTCCACGATCATGATTTGACATCAGGTACCAAATGGGTCAGTGACTTCACTTACTTACATTACTGTGTGTAATGGATGTTTTATTACATTCATAATGATTGATGTCTGTTTACATAATATTGACATGTAATCATTATCTTCACTAACTTTTTGTATTAATATTTCTTGACATTATCTAATAAAAAATCAAGCATGTGGTTATTTTTATGTATTTGTTTCATTAGAAAGTTATCAAACAGAGCTGACCCTTGGTGCTTCAGACAAGCTTCCTATAGCAATTAAGACTGTGAAACTCCTAATATGGACTTACTGTACGTCCTGTTGTGTTACACAAGAGTCCATAAAAAATGCAAACGTCTAAATGTAGTCTTATGAGCAGGTCTGTCAGAGCCATGATGGCTTTGCTCCTGTTCTCAGCACGATAAAATGCATGCCAGCTACAGCTCATGAATTTTAATTGCATTTGTGTCTTGCGTTCTTAGCTTGTGAGCTAGAAATGGGGTTAAAATAAACAGTCTTAGTGCTTCCGCCACAAAACCCTGCTCCATTTAGTTCATTGCTAATGACTAGATGTCGTTTCACAGTACACCTTATCTCAAATTCCCAGATCCAATGGTAAAACAGATGTTGTCCCTGTAAAATGTGCTGCTATCTACAAAGGAACAACCAGTTTAAATAGTTTCTAAACAGGACACTCCAGGGTCCAGTTCAATTCAATTCAATTGCAGTGTCACGTTCATTGTAGATCACAGCATGGAAGTGATTATATATGAAACCATTTCTATTGTTCAGTCAATGAAACAAGATTCAGTTCTCAACAGCTGAGTGAGCCCGGTTGGCTAGACCATTTGACAAATATAAATAATAGTACAATCAATATGTTTTTTTTTTCCTAACAAGTGATGATTTTAGTTTTCTCCATAAAAGAACCATTTCTTTATTTAAGCCTTTCCTCTCACTGTATTTCCAATATTAAAATCATGATAAGAAGTCATTCACAGAGGCACGTACAGTCATATACACCCACATACACATTTGGCCAATGCAGCGTCCATATTTCACAGGCAAATCTGCAGTGCGAGCAATAACGTGCTTGCAGTTTGGGCCCTGCCATTACTGGGATAGGCTGGTCTGGGCTGTAAAAACCTATTAGCTCTGCCTCTGCAATCCCTATAATTGACTGCACAGCTTGTGTGTTTGCCAGCCGCAGCCTTCCTCACCACAAGGGCTTTTTTCCGGAGGTCTGTGGCCTTCTGGAGCAGGCTCTTGTGGGGCTGCAAGTGGGACTGAGGTGATTGTGATGGATGAACCTGATCAGCCTTTTGGGGATTGTGACAAAAGGGCTGAGTCTTTGTAACAGGGTTAAACAGCACCTTGATATGAGCACTTCATGTAAAATATTGAGTGTCACTGTAGCCTCTCAAAATCTGGTGATTTTAAATGTGATGTGATACATTTCACTATCTATATTAACTAATAAATTTAATTTAGAACTAAACGTAGCAACATTTATACATAATTTATAATCATAAAATTCACCAACACAACAGTATTGTGTTCCCCTTGAATCCCTGCACCTTAAATTAATTTGTGTTGCGACTAAATTAAAATTTTAATAAACTGTGTTGTGACTAAATTAAAACATTTTGGGATTTCCATGCAATTTCTAAGTTTTGTGTGTGGGCACTGACTACATTTCCCTTTGATTATACTAATCATTATTATTAATGTTTATTTGTCATCAGAATGAAATCTTGAGCTGATCTATGCAATGCTGCTACATAACTTGCGTAGTGAGAAATAAATAATCCTTACTTGTCATAACTGTAATTATTCTATTGATGATATGCAAAACTATATGCATATTGAATATGTCATCTATATTAAAAACTGTACAAGAAAGTGAAAACCACTGTGCAATCAGCAAGCTTTAGCACATTTTCTGATGGACTGCCATAATATCATCTGAACATTGGGATGAAAGAAAAAAATAATATTGAGATGTACATTTTTTTCAAAGTCGTCCACCCTCATAAGTAACAACAGGCTGTCGGCAAGGTATACAAAATTATTTGCTGAAACCAGGCGCCACTTAGAATGCACAAGCTATCCACATTTAGGGTTTACACAAAAAGAAGTCTGGCTGCCTTTTTAACACAAAATGCAGTATCAGAATCTAAATGGCAAAAAGCATGAACAATTGGTAATAGAAATATTTCTTTACAAATTTTCCTATCTTGCCTTACTAGTCAACTAATAAAGAAACAAACAAAAAAACTGCTCACTAGTTAAATACTAAAATAACAATTAGCTATTCCTCTCACAAACAAACATCAAAGCCTGCATTGACAATACAGGCCTACAACATGACATGATAAATGTATGGAGCGCTTCTTCCTCATCACTATTCCAGATACAACATACTATTTATTGCAATGTCACACGGAAACTGCTCAGGGGAATTGCCTCCTTGTTTACAGGTTGCACTCGAACTCTCCACTCATCATTTTCCTCCCACTAGCGTAGCCTTAACTTCCTTTAAACTGCTGGATATTACCACTTAGCGAGCCGTAGTGCTACATCATTACTTCAGATTCATGTGTTGTAAGCCCTTTGTATTCCATAGTCCTGGCACTTATCTGATGTGGTTGATTCAATTCAACTCTAATCCAGTGATAGGAGTTACTTTATAGCCATTTGCTGTCTATTCCTCCCTCCCTCTCTCTCTCTCTTACCCATAAGATCTAGTAGTCAATGGTGTTTTGATCTCTCCTTCCCTGTAACCTCAGGAAAGAGCTGGGGAGTGTGTTGATGGGGGAGCCATATAGCCGGATAACTGCTCCAATCTGCCCTCTGCTCAGAAACTAAATTGACTTCTCTCGCCTTCTATTGAGTTAGTAGGCAGCTCTGGTTTCCCCCTCCTTCAGTCTTCTTCTTTCTGCCCTCTGTCAAACACCTCTCTCTTTCTCTCTCTCTCTCTCTTTCTCTCTCTTTATCCCTCTTTCTCTGTCTCTCTGCACCATTAGTGAGCGAGTGGTAGACTTGTGAATGTCAGTGGGTTCAGTCAGTGATGGCCTGGATAGTCCCTTTGGTGTAGACCCCACCAGAGTGAGATTACAAAACTAATGGCTTTTCTCTTCTGCATTGTTTCACTAGGAGAAGATCTTAAGGTTTGGCAGGCAGTAAAATTGTTTATGATGAAAACTGCTTTTTGCACTATAGCATGGAATTGGGAAAACAGACATCCAGCCAATATTTCAATTAAATAAATATAATGTTCTGAATCAGCCACATGTGTTCAGTTTGTGTCCCAATAGCAAGAGTTGCATCAAGAATTTGGTACAATCTGAAAACTAAACAAACTAATGAGCATAAGAATGTGACCTCTGATGTAAAGTATTTACTGTAGCAGCCCTGGAATGGAAAGCTGAAATGAAAACATAAAACATAAAACGTGTGTGTACATTTTGAGTGCTGCTGTAGATAGTTTATGGCTAAATTTGAGTATTTTATAATGTTTTACATTTGCAAAAATACACAGTGAAATAATGATAGGTAACTATACATTATATATAAAGATTATAGTTGCATTGTCTGCAATTAACTTTTCACTTATGGCATTGATTTCAAGGAGAAAAAGCACTTCTCAGATGTAACTAAATAGTCAGTGTCAAATTACATTTGTGATGTAAACCATCCCTTTGTCATTTGGTCAGATGGTTTTCTGGAGTTCTTGTCCATTTTGTTTAATAATTCACATATTTGTTCATATAAAGGAAAAAAATTACAAATGACCACTGCATATTATATCAGTGGAAACAAAGTCGTGATTTTGACTGGTTTTTGAGTTTGGACATGAAGAAGAGGTTTCACTTAGATGTGAAGCAAAGCACATTTAACTCACAAACACACACTAGGCTCACTACTTCTTAAAACCTTTTGTTGCTATAAAACTTTCCAGATTAAAGCATTACATCGTCTTTATGTACTTTGTAAAATTTTTTGCAATCAAGATACAATCTATCTTGAATGGCATTTAATCAAGATAAAAATAAAAGAGATGATAGCACTTACCATAATGGAATAAACCAGTGCCACAATGCTGATGGGCCACACAGGGCAGAAGCAGGAGCAGATGACCAGGATGAGGTAGTCCTTGGGTTTGGGGGCCTCTTGGACAGTGGCATTTCCAGTGGAGGAGCGGCTTAAACTGGCCCGAGACGGAGACAGAGGTGCGGCTGCAGTCAGGAGTCCAGCCGAACCGGACCTCATGGGAACGCTGTGTCCATTCTGGTCAGTGTCCAAGCCTTTGTCCCCACTCGCACTGAAAGAGGTGGACATCTTCATTCCATTGCCCCCCGGTTCAGTGGTCACAGCCAGTAGTTTCTCTGTCTCCTGGGAGTCTGCCTGCTGGGTGGTTCCTCCACTTTCTCCCAAGTTGGTCTTCTGATATTCTGTGTCTGTGTTGATGGCCATGTTTAAGTCTAAAGAAGTTATATCATCAAACAAACAAAGCTTGGAATATTCTGGTTGATCTGATTTAAATGTGTGTAACTCACAAAGGAAGCCTATAGCATTTAGTCTTCTAAGAGCCTAAAAAGCCAAGAAAAGAAATGCTTGAATCAAAAATCATCCCACAGACGTTCATCATACTTGCATGTACTTTCTTCACATCCCAGTTGGAATTATTCCAGCTGAACTCAGATTGTTCCCTTAACCAAGAGTAGTGTCTCGTACCTTTCTCTGTTACGCGTTGGTGTTCTTCTAAAAAAAAGAGGTCTTTTCGGAGCAAAGATGGATGAAGGTGAAACGGACCATAGGTGAGACACTTTCTCCCCTCGTCTCCTACCCACTGCAGCAAGCAACACACGACTGTACTCAACTTGGGACCAGTGTCAAGACGATCTGTGAACGCGCTGCGCTTCCGCCCACGACGCGCAAAAGTAAAACAACTAGCCTATGCCCAATAACTAATTATGCTAATAAGCAATGTGTCGATCAAAAATTTCGTATTCACAGTCTGGCATCCTTCATTATAAAGTCACTATTTGGGTTGGAGTTTTAGATGATTAAATATGAAATAGATATTAGACAAATATTTTAATTTTTGGTATTTTATGGCAGGCCTACTCTTTTTAATGTTTAGTTCTTATGAATCATTCACCCCACATAGTTATTATAAATGGTATATTATTCTTATTATAAATAAGATATAGAATAATATATAATTTTACTTGTCCCGACTTTTACTTTGCAGACTAATTTATGACCTCCAACTTCATCAAGTCCAGTCTTATTGTGAAAGCGTCTTTGGATATCTCGTGACATCCTTGTTCCTGACTTGATGCGGCTCATGCGGGGCAGTCTGGCGCGCATCCCGTTCTTCTCTCCTCCTCATCCCTCTCTTCGTTTTCTTTCCTCTTTGCTCTCATAAGCAGCGGTGGTTTATAAAGAAAATACCTGGCAGTATGGTGTATGCTATGCAGAGGGTTATCAAAGCAAAGTAATCAACAAACCTTTCTTTCTTCGTCTTTGAAATCTTCAAACAGCTGCCTTATTATTGCAGCAAGACAAAAACAAAACAAAATAAGCTTTTATTTAATTCCCTTAGTGAGCATAGAATTGCTGAGTTAGGTTTAAGAGATAGTAACAGGCCAACTGAATTCTGAATGGAGACTCCGGGGTTTCCCAAAACCGTCAGATGTTTTTTTTCTGAACCTCTCCCATTGATTTCCCTCATCCTTAGACTGGTGCATTAGCGTCAGCCCATTCCCAGAATGAGTGCTCTCACTGTGACCTGCTGCATATATTGATGGGGGAGGGCCGAGACGGAAGAGAGGGGATTCCCGTGAAGTCTTTACATGATGTAATATTATTGACACACACATAACCTATTGTAATGAAAAAAGTCTTGTCTTTAATGTCTTTCCAAACATTAATATAGCAGAGGCTTCTCATTCAACCCTACACATTTTACAATCGAAAAGTCGGTATATATGGTTATAGAACTCATCTGCAGTCAGCTCTAGAAGAACAGAAGGGGAGGTGAAGATACAACTAGGATCGTTTATTTTTATTAATCCCCAGACAGTTAAATATTCATACTCTTGGAGTTATAAATGCTGCCTGGGCATTTTCTTCAAAGGGCAGATTTTAAAGTCCTTCATAAAGGCAGGAAACTGTGTCCACAGCCCCGCCTAGTGGAAGTAAGGAGTGTTTACAAGGGGAATAATCCACTGAAAGCATGACTTCATTGTCGGGTTACTCAGTGGTAAGATGACTAATGACTACAGTAGTGTGCATGTCCTCATCTGTCATAGTGGTTTCTGTTGTGAAACAAAATGAAGGAAACTCATGAGATTCTCAGGAGTCTCGGTGTGCTGAAAAAGCTTCTCTGTATCACAATGAACAGGAGAGGGTTATGTCAAATATTTTAAAATGTTTGAAAAATATTTGAAAATATCGTTTAAAACATGCCCTTGTATTTTTGCTTGTCCTCCTGGTTTTTCTCCTCCATGCGTATGTTCAGCATAGCCAGTTCCTTGTTCACAGACTTCTTCATCCCAGGATCAAGCTCCAGCACTCTGCTGAAGTCCTGCCTGGCCTCTGCCTCGTTCCACACCTCCTTATGGGCTTTTCCTCTCAGGTAATACGCTTTTGCCACACCTGGTGCCAGAGCAGGAGAATATGAGCATGGACAAATCTAAAACTGTATTATTGTGAGCCAAGTTCACACTCATCTAATTGGGGCCTAAAATTTATCAGCTACAACATGCAAACAAGCACAGCAAATTCAAAAGTGTTAAATTCACGGTGTTGGTGTTGTGAGTAAAGTGAAAAAAATCCAGGTGTTTCAACGTAGTCAAGAGTTATTTCAACTATGACAGTGCTATAGAGTAAAATAAGTAGTTGTTGATTCACAGTGTTGACATAAAACGAGTAGCTGTTGTTTCACAGTGTTAACGTCAAACTCTTGTGAAAGTGTCTATTTTGAATATTACACTACATCAGGGTTGGACTTTTGTGACGTTTCGAGCGGGAGAGCTACGAGAGAGAAACCACATTTCACCATCCGAAGCTAAGCTAAGCTAACAGCTAATAGCTGTTTGTTTTTCAGCAGAACCTGAAGTCAACGAGCCTCAAGTCCAACCACCTGAACTCTGTCATGCTCCGGGTCAGATTACTTTACCTTTTTAGGATACTTTGCATTTAATTTAATTCATAAAAATATTAAATATATTTAGTCTAATGCTAGTAGTAGTAAGATAACTAACTTTCCCGCGACAGTCAATGTTGCTAGCACTGACGTCCATGATAATAAGGTAAAATAGCCATAAATTGTACTAAATTAAGAGTAACGTTACTTCAAAAAAATATTTCTCAAGTCTAGGTATAAAGTAAAAGTCCAAAAAATGTGTTAAGTAACTATGAGTATTCGGGGAAACTAAGTAAAGTAAGTGGAAACTAAGTAAGTAAATTAAGTTAAGAGTAACTGGACGAAACATCTGATTTGTTATTTAAAGTTAATGCAATTGCGAGGATGAAACATGAAATGGTACTCATGTCTGGTATTTTCACAGCGGGAAGAAAGTACAATATCTGTAAATAGTGACTCAAGTAAATGTATTACGTCATAATACATTACGTCATTGTAATGCTAGTGACCCCTGCCCTGCACTCAGTGTACGTAACACGATGATTTAGGACAGTTATGACATATTTATGACCTATTTCAAGTGATAAATACAAAAATGTTGGTAGTAAAATAATGTCTCCTTATTTCATTGTTGTCAACTGTTGTCCGGGTTTTACGTGGTTTTACAGCCTCAAATTAAATGTTAAGTTAAATCAAAAGTTTTTATCTGTCATGGCAACGCACAGACGTTCCACGGTTGCCAGTAGTTGCATATGTAAACCCCAACATTGGAATTACTCGGTCTATGCTGAAGTGAAGGACAGTACTATTCGTTAGCTTAGCTCTTCTGAGTTTTCACCGTGTTTTTCACACTTTGGGGCTGCATTCATTCGCTGTATTCACATTTCTTTTAATAATAGCTGATAAACGTGGACACTTTTGTGTGGTGTGTTGAGGTAGGATATTGTACCAAGTGGAGAATTATTAAAATCAAAAGGTTAGTAGTATTCTGTAAAAAATAAAATATCTTCAAGTATGATGTCTTACCCAATACATTGTCTTAACATGCTATTGACCTTTAGTCAAAAAGAGTAATGATACATTCTTTTTTTGTATTTTCTTCAGGGTCTCTTGCTGCCGGTTCACATGCATCCCCAGCTCCTAAAGGCTACAGTGGAAAGATGAAGGCTCAAGCCATTATTGCAGGTATGTCATGAAATGGTTAAATGTAGAACTGAAATGTAACCTCACAAATAATTTCATAATTGACTCACTGAATTTTATATATGTGCTAATAGTTGTAATTTTTGCCTTAATCTCATTCTATTTTCGTGATTAATGGCATTTGGTGTTTTGTTTCTTGTGGGTCTTGCATTTAAAAATAATCTTTTCTGAGCGGCTACATTTTTTCAAATTACCCTTTACGTTATTTATGTGAATGGTTCCTGTATACAAAAACATACAGCTCATGCAACAGAAAAAACTGCTTAATAGGAACAAACAAATAATAATAATATATGCACCATAATATATTTACTATATATTTAATTTTTATTTTTTATTCATGGCTCATTAAATATTGCATAGCCCGTTTTGCAAGGTGATTACTTGAATATGTTATATATATTTTATGTCATCGTTGACCCTGGCTAAATTTGGTGAACACTTCAAGCACTTGGTCCTCAGACTCTCACAAACTTTACACCTGTATTCAAAGAAATGTCTACAACATGGATGATGGATGTGTCAAAAGAAACCACAAGGGTGAAAGACTGACTCTTGAGGTAAAAAGTTTCTGCAATGTTAATGTTTCATAATTACAAGGACTGCCTCTATTGTGAACATTGTTATGTTTATATAATGGAGAGAAGATCTTGTTTCAAACAGTCAGACATGCTCTCCTCATTTTTCCATTCCATTCAAAACAAGATCTTCATTCATCCATGGACTGCTTGCATTGAAAAATCAACTTAAATAAAAAGACAATCATTGAGACCAATTGTTGAGGGCACAGAGAATTCCTGCTGTCAGTTGGATTTTGCACAAATATGACTTGTTTAAATTGTGTTGACTGTATGATGTGCATTGTTTTAATACAAGTTAAGTTGAAATGGAATTTTGTGGGGGTTTTCATTATTTCATTATGAACTTGAATGACCACAGCATTTACACTGTATTTAGTGAAGAAAGAGTTACTATTGAATAGTTTAACATGAAGAACACTCTACACTATTTCTACTTCATAAAGTGATAAAACATAGCAATAAAGAGTTATTAGTTTTTCATTATACACAAAAAAAAAAAAAAAAAAATCTTGATCAGTGTCAAATTCAACAATGAGGAGTGTGGTTACATCACCAGTGTTGAGCCTTCTACACTTTGGAAAGTGTAGTTTTAACTCATTTTATTGTGGACCCCATATGACATGGTAAAAGTATTAAAATGAACAATATACAAGTGGAATTAACACTCTTGAATTTGCTGTGAGCTTTTCCAAATAATTTGTTCACTAATGTAAACCTTTGTCTTAAAATAGAAAAAGCACCAAATCACAAATCTAGGACTTAAACTAGTACAGATCAATTTCGTATTTATTTATTTATTTTTTTTAAATAAGATTTTGAGATCTAGTGATGTTTTCTGCTTCTTCACTGAAGGTTCATACACTGCAATGACAGCAGGGAGAAGAAACACTTTTTAGAAGAACAGTATACTTTTTTTTATCTGTGTAGAGATAGCTGGATCTCCAGGCTAGTCCAGGTGCTCAGACTGCATTGCTTCTGATTCATCTGACTCTATGGGCTTGATAACCTTGGCTGAGTATAAGCCAATAATGGTCAAAGTCAAACTCAAGAGTAAATGTTATTGGTTGAGAGCACAAACTATAAAATGACAGGCTCCCTAAGACAACAACACACAGGAGACTTTATTGTTCAATTTTATAAACATTAGCTCTGCACTCAAACTCACTTTATAATATTAGTTTTAAAACAAGAATATTTCAGCATGTTATTATACAAATTTTTCACACTTGCCACTCCTTCCTGTCCTCTCTCCAGCTGTGAGTGTCCCTCACCCGCCTCGTCGCCATGAGAGGCCACGCCCCCCTCCTGACTTCACTGTCACACTCCACATTTCAAAACTCATCTGTTTAGAGTGGCTATTTATATACTCTCTCTGACCTTAGCTTCACTGTCCCTTTTTAACAATATGCTTTTAACAGTTTATTTCTCTTCAAGCATTTTTTTCACATAAAGGTTTCTGGATTAATTATAATATTTCCCCCTAAAAGATAACACATTTTGAAATCAAAGGGCAAAGCTAAATTAACTATTGTTTTAGTGTATTTATTGGAGATCATTTGAGAGTACTTATGTTAAAGTATGAAACTTTTTACTATTGTACTATGCACCCGCTATCCACAAAGGTTTCAGAATGATCAAAAAATATGACCGTTGCTAGCAATGAACAATTAAATAACAATTGACAGTACAGCCCCTTAACACCGACTGTCACAAATATGCAACAATCCATTTGGATGAAGATAAAAGTGCATATGCCGAACCTTCCTAGGAACCTTTGGCAAGCACTTGTTTCCAGTTGTCGCAAATTTGCAACATACCCAAATTTCTATTTATTTATTTACTTTTTGCTGTAGTCAAGTTAATAATCTCAATTTACCATCTCCTTAAAGGCGAAAACACACACAAAACAATTTTTATATTCATCCATATAAATTCAGGCGTTAAGGAGTTAAAGCAAAATGTGTCAACACAAAGCTAAAACTTATGAATACATAGCTTTATCATTGTGTACTTAAACATACCCGGGTGCTGGTTGATAATGTCACTAGTATGCTCGATGACCTCATAGTACTCCTCCATGCGCAGCAGACACTGGCAGTAGTTCAGAGTTAAAGTGTTGGACATCTTCTCCAGCTTTAACCACGGAGCCTCCCATGCTTTCTCCTACAGTGACACACTTTCATTACACATCACAGGATACTTCAAATTTAATGCTTTTAAATGTTTTGTATGTACCTTGGTCTGTACGTTTTTCAGGCAGATGATGGCTTCTTTGTACTTCTGAGCTGCCTCTGGGTAGTGGCCCTGCTTGAAGAGCTTATTGCCTTGGCCATGCAAAACCGGCACCACCTTCAACCTCTCTTCGTCATTCAATGCCCAAGACTCCCTATTATACTCGTTTGGCTGCTGGACCTATTAGACACACATATCACATTCAGTTATGATATGGAAATATGCATAAAACTGTAAAGAAGTTTGGGTGACCATCTGTCCCTGTCCCTCACCCCACTTATGTAAAGAATGTTCATCTTTTTCTTGTAAATAGTGAGATTTACATAGAACAAGATTCCTTGCAAAAAATATCAGTTTTGGTGGGTGCAGTCTTTCTTTGGTGGAATATGATATGACCTGTTGCTATTTCAAAATCTGTATCTGTGTTTAAGGGATAAACGAATCAAAAACCATATCATTTTAAAGCAGTCTGTATCTATTGTCTTAAATTTATTATTTCCATCCCACCATGTCCACCACATTGCCCAACTTTCCCCACTTAAACTTCAATTTGAGATGCTCACCCTGAAGTATGTATTGCGTACCATACCCTGATCAGCTCAAAAACAAAGTATAATGGTTTGGGGTCCTTCATGAGTTCGTCCAGGTCCTCGTAGCCAAGACTGTGGTAAGCAAACATATTGGCCATTCCACACGTGTGCATCTGCCACTCCACTGGGTCTTTGCCTTCTGCTATTCGTCTCATACTTTTGGCCACAAGTGGATAAACGCCAGTGTGCTGGGAAAAAAACAAGGCAGCAAAGAGATTATCTGAAGTATTTTAAAACGTTTTAACATTGGCAGATGTGGGTTTGTGAATCATCTACATCAGTGGTTCTTTCCTTTCACACCAAGTACCACTTAAGGTTTATAACAGGATGGTGATTCCAAATCTAAACTATGATTGATGAAACCAGGTCTTAACAGTGGATACAACTAAATTTTAGCAAATATTAGAGAAGTAGAGGACTGTGTGCCACCAGTAGGGGCAATTTAAAAGGGCCTATAAGCTTTTTCCTGATCTCTGTTAAAATGTTGTTTCCTCATCAAAAATATACCTGGAGTTGTGTGTTTTTTTCATCTACACATGTTTAAAGCACAAACCCTGCATATTTAGGTTGAGTTCTTCTCTCAAAACAGAAAACACTCACACCTTGTGATGTCATGTAGTAATACAGGAAGTGCTCCACTGTTTTTAAATTCTATACACCTTCAGTAAAATTTCTACTGAACTAAAGGTAAAAGGAGCTGTACCTCAAAATGACTTCACAAGATGGAACAGAGCGTTCTGAGCTTTGGAAATGTAGACACACTAATAATAAAGGATTACTCAAACATGTGTGAATGAAACAAAACACAATTCCATGTATGTTTTTGAGGAATTAACAACATTATAACATGGCTTAAAGCTCACAAGAGTAAATTTAGCCTAATATAGGAATTTTAAGAAGCACTGGACTGTAGCTGCTTATGTCCAAAATGTATGTCTTGCCTAGAATTGCTGAAATTGACTCTACAACTGCGACAGCCTAAACAAAATTAAATATTTCTGTTTAACTGATAAAATCGGTTTGTCTATAACATGACTTATTTGGTTGTTTTGTCATTATAATTTATAGGAGCCCTGTTAGAGCATTTCTTCCTTACATTAAATTGCAGTATTATGTAATACATAATACATTGGTCTTTGCGTCACTGATAAACTAGTAGTGAATCCCTCCAATGATCAAATCTAATCAAAGAAGAGAAAGGAAAGAGAGGAGGAGGATGGAGAGGAGGAGAGAGTGGAAGAGAGCTGAATCAGCTGGTTTCAGAGCTGATTACACAGGAGTGAGACTGATGCAGATTAATGTACCTGCACCATCTGCCACTGAAAACAAACCCAACACTATTTAAGACATGACTAGTCTGTTAAGGTTAATTAGGTCAGAGCAGTAGAGGAAACGATGAATTAGTGTCAGTAATAGTAATAATAATAAAGTAATACTTTGGAAAGAGTTTTCATAAGCGATATCAATATTCAGAGTTTGGAAATATACAAAGACACTTCACATACCTACTTTACTACTGTTACAAAGGTTATGTTCATCAGTAATAGGTCTTGTTCATGTTGTAGAATGTAATCTTAAATTATTTTACTTAAAAGTGCATTACGCAACTTTTCTGGTGGAGGGTCAACTGCTTGTCTTCATAGAGATGTTATTGCTTTGAAAGTTCCAATAAAAAATAAATAAATAATAATAATACCATAAATCGGCTTAACAAACTTGCAATATTAATGCTATGGCATAAAACCCTTTCAGCTGATGAAAATCCCATCTTTGGGGTTGAATAATGGCAACGCTATTGTGAAAAACTAAGGACACAGGCCTATAGTTTCTCACTTACAATTGTATCACACCAGAACTCGGCCACCTCTCCGACCCTCATAGAAGCCAGCAGTGTCTCCCAGATGTCCAGCTTAAACATGTTTCCGATCACTATCTCCATCGGTGTTCCTACAACTTTACTGTCATCTATCGCCGTCCGCTCATCATCACACAACTGTGTCCTGAAGTGGAAAGTCACCTGGGAAAAGAAGAGGCACACTATTACCGTATACTTGGTAGGGAGAGGTAAATTTAAAATATATCCTAAACATTCTCAAAATATTCAGTTGTCGCAGTGTATGTGGTCAGTGGTAATTTGCAATGGCAGTCCCTAGGTGTTCTGTCACAATATGCTACTTTTCAGTGTTATTTGATTTCTGGCCCTGGAAGGCTGCTGCCATCTTCTGGAGACTGATAATTGCTGCATATGTAGAAAGAAAGAAATAAAATACAAAATATAGACGAAATATATACAAAATAATGCACTTTTCCAGATGCTTTAAGTCACTTTACAATTTTGTACATTACTCATTCATTCCATGCCCTGTGGTGGTAAGCTACTAATGGAGTCACAGCTGTCCAATCACTCATGCACACACAACTTTCATACTAGGCAATGTGGGAGTGTATTGCCTAAGGACACAAGTGTCAGTTTTTTACACCCCACTGTGGCACCAGGTATTCCCAGTGGTTTCCCATCCAAGGAGAAACCAGGCCCAGCCTTGTTTAGCTTCTGAGATGTGACGAGCTCTGGCTTTGACAATGTAGTATGCCACATTAGACCTGCTTTACCTTGGTCCCTGTGCAGAACTTGGGGATGTCTCCTGCTCCTCCATGCAGAATAGTCTTCCTGATGCCCTCAGACCCCAGCAGCAGTGCATCTTGCATGTCGGACATCTTAGCTCAGTCTATAACACAGGGCATGTGTGTGTGCATACTGCTGTCTGCAGGGCACTGAGCCTGTATGAAGAAGGCAGATGACACAAGCATGATTTCACTGTAGGATAATCTCAGGCACGGTTAATCAGATTACATCTCTTTGTTTGGATTTTGTGCCAGCAGCAGCAACTAGAAACGAAAAGAACATATTTGTAGAAGACAGTAAGGTCAAATTAAATCAACAGTATTCTCATATAATAAAAGTGTTTTTCAGTATCTAGGCTTTTCAAAACACCATGGATATTTCTGAAGACATACTGTATAAAACAGAGCTCAGAAACCCAATCAAAATAGTTTAAAGTTGGTCATTTATTATTAAATATGTCAGGAGTGCTTTAATTTATTAAAAAGTACAATTTCCACAAATTTAGTTTTGTGAATGTATAATGAAAATGAAGTGAAGCGACATTTCTGTAGAAAATGTAAGCCTATCACTTCCTAATGCATTTCTGGTGTTAGAATTCAGTTGAGTTGAATGGCGGTTCTGCGTGAGACAGACGGGGAGAGAGAGGGAGCCAGAAACACAAACAGCCTCATATACGCAAAGGACATTGTTTCCATTCCAGAGGAAATTTCCTGGATTTATGTGGATGTGGTGATCTGAACAATGCGCCCAATACGGAGAAACAGTGGAGCAGACAATTACTGTATGGACTCTATGACCTGGTCTATTAAACATCTGTCTCCCATCTGCAGGGCACCGTGTGTGAGAGAAATGCACTGCTCCTGTTGAGTCTGTAAGCACTTTGAGGGGCTATTACTTCAGAAATTACCCAGTGTTAACACATATTTCCACATTAATTACACAATAGAAAAACCCAATCATTTTGAGTTGGCTGCATAACCCTGTAACAGAAGAGGAAATTTCAGATGATCTGTTAAGCATTTAATTAATTCAGAGAGAAAAATATCCAAATATAGTATTCAATAGCAGCTTGAATGGGGATGAGGTCATTTGTGTGCACCCTCTAGTGGCAATGTTAGAAAGGTATAAGAAAATGCTGCCTAATCCAGGCCTATTCCATTTGCGCCGGGGCCCAGATCAAGCCCTCCAAAAGATCTAATTTGGCCTATGGCCTAACCTCCAAATATTCAGATATTTTCACTTGTTTGGTTACTACTAGTCTATGGTTAATAGACTTCTTGGTCTGTACTGGATTGACAATTTGACAGAGCAATGTTGGTGAAAACTATTTATTTAAAATATTTTCTATAGCAGTTGTTGTTGCCTGCATTAATTAATATGTAAACATTAATCAACATTGCAAGGATTTTTCTATTTGATTTTACATATTTATGATGTAAGTAGTTCATATTTTAGATACAAATACATTTGTTATGGTCATCTATAATGAGTGCAAGCAAAACATTTATATAAACACTCAAATCATGTTCTCTGATTTCCTAAAGATTTGAGTATGTAGGGGGGAAAATGCTTCTTCAGTGTGTAGCCAGGGGTCACCATAATGATTTTTCTGTCATCATCCTAATTTATTATTTTTCTTCCAGTTTAGGCACAGATATGTAAGAAAAACATTTAGAATCCATTTATATATTTTACTGTCATTAACCTAAATGTGGTGACAATGGGCTTTGCTGTACCTTGGCCTAATTCTGTGGTGACTCATAGAACATGCGTCACACACACCTCTACACTGTTCTGCTGTCTGGCTGCATTAGCACATGTTAGCTATGTATGGGAAACCAGTCTACTGTACCAGTTCATTCATTCACACATCTTTGAGAACACCCCCCTCTTTATCCTATCAGTTGCGTCTGTGGACACCCATAGCTGATGCATTAGTTCCACTTTGAGCAAGTCATAGTCTATTTTGGGAAAGTACAGTCATGGATTTTCTAGGGAGGAGCTATTCCCTGTGCAAAAGGCCATTCATTCATATGCATAACACATGGGGGGAGGTTTTCTTCCATGACGCACAGAATACACGCACATAACATAATATTTATGAATGTGTAAACCTTTTGTGCGCTAATGCTGCTGCTGCTGCTGCTGTGGGAATGAGGTATTGGTTTTAGGGTTACAGAGAAAGAGGTAGAAAAACTACTCAGAGAGCTAATGTGTGCGCTATAAGAGAAAGGGGGAGTTGTGATTTTCACTATCTGTTCCCCAGTAAGCAGGAGTCACATCGCTTTCAGCAGAGCAGATTATGTAATGTTCATTTGTATATTAAAAACAGGCTTTTGCTTTCATTATTTCTTACCTGACCAAAACTCTGGAATTTAAAAACAAAACCCAGTGTATTTGCACATTGTAGTACAAAGTGTGTACTATCCTGTCCTGCCTCGCCAAAAGATCCTTATTCAATAGTTCAAAAACTATTATAAGTGTGCAATATCGATAAAAACATGAGCTGTGATAAATAATGAGCAGAATGAACCAGTAGTAGTTTGTCTCATAATGAGTTATAAAAAGTGTTCATTCATCCCTCTACAGCTCAGATCTACTCGAAGTACACATGAATAACAAAAAGTTCTCCACTACAGGACAAAGAGTATTCACAATCAATACTGACCCCACCAAAAAGTTCCATCTATCATTGATTTTACAATAAGTCAATGGCAATTTTTCTTTAAATCCTATCTTGATAGAACAATGTACAAAGTATTTTCCTTAAGGAAGGTACATAAATAGTTAAATGGTTATCAAATACAGCCTGTCCTCAGTCTTACAGACTTTACATATAAATGCAGTGAAATTGCAATTTACATTTACTGGATTTCTCAAACATACTGCCTTTTTTATTCCTAAATTAGATGTTCGCAACATACATGCAGTTTGCCATTAGCTCTTAACCATGGTTAATTAACTATACAACAATGCATTCTAGTGCTTTTCATGACACTCAAACTCAAAACTCAAAATGTTTTAAAGAACATATATATTCTAAACAGGAAAAAGAACAATAAACTAATAATACAAGAAAGATAAAAACAGTAAATCACACAGAGAAAAAGTTACAGATTATCAAAAGATATTCTAAACAGATGGGTTTTGAGATTTATCTTGAAGGTGGGGAAGTCGGTGTAATTACAGAGTTGCTGAAGTAGTGAATTCCAGAGGGTGGGGGTGGCGATGGAGAAGGCTCTGTCTCCCCAGGTTCGGAGCGATAGGTCCCACAGAGAAGGGACAGAAGGCTGGTGTCAGAGGAGCGGAGGGAGTGAGATGGAGTGTGGGGCTGGAACACATCTAAGAGGAGGCAGGTTCTGGAGGACAGGGCTGATGTGTTCATAGGACTGAGTGAATATGAAGAGGAGGGAGGCAAAGATTTGGATGTAGTGTAACTTATTAAGTGTTTTGTCAACTAAATTCCCAACCCTTGTCTCATAAGCATGAAATGTCCTGATCCCAAGTTACAAAACGTTTGGCACATGTTGAACTATTACAAACTTTCTTGACTTACTTTTTGCCTTACTTGACTCTCTGTAAACTGCCTTCTTATTTATTGAATATACTTTTTTTGCAGTCAGACAAGGGACAATTCAAGTTTGTCTCTATCAATATCTCTTCTAATCATTCTGTGAAGCTCTGACATGTAGCCTTCGTAGCCTTCTAGAAAAGGCCAGAGGTCAGTCACAGGAATTTTGACTTGCAGTACAATCTCTGACCACTGGAGGACCACAGGACTACTCTGTGGATACTGTCATAGTGTGTGTAGGATGTGCGTGTGCTTAGCTGTAGCTGCCCTGACTTGCATAATTGTCAGGAACAGACTGCACTTGGTGAAGTCATGCGTGTGTAAGGGACAGCCTCAAAACCCTCTGGAATGACACTCAAATGCCAGAGGTTTGGATAAGAAGCTCTTACAGTAAACTGTGTATAAGGAAGAAGTTATCTACTCATCATTTATGAACAAACATTACTGTGCAAAAGCCATATCAAGTTTTTTAAGAGCGACATAGATGAGCTAAGACAACTGAAACAAATATATGAATGCCAAGACATGCCTTTTCTCCACACGCCTGAATGACCTGTCAGTTATCTTTGAACCAAAGATGACTGATTCTCTTGTTCAGAGTTAATGAAAAATAATAACCATGGCCTGGTTTTGTATTGCACTTTTTGAGGTTGTCAGAGCGCTGTCAAACAGGTATCACTCGCTCCCCAGAGTCAGTGATGGCCACAGCTGCTCTGGGCAGTGTGGTTACCATTCTGCACTAAAGTTTCACTTCTCCAACCACTCACTTACACATCACATCATGATAATTATTACGGGTAAAATGTCTCACCCAAAGAAACAACAGCAGTATGCACTCTTTGGATACTCAAACCAGAAAGAAACTAAACTTAAATTAAGTGTAGTGCTTTCCTTATGTGTAAACCGTTGTTCATTATACTGTGAGCCTTCTGTTTACTTTCTTCATTACCAACACCTGAAGTATATAGGCCTACTTATGGCAGTGTTTAACAATACAACTACAATCAAATGAATAGTATTTAGTCTTACTGTTAACGCAGTATAGTTAGAGATCTTCACATTGGATTAAATTTCACAATAACAGACATCGACTTCTCTCGCCATTTTGACCTGAGCACCTCCCCTGATTGAGCCTCTGCTGTCCCACTTTGTGCCTGGCCTCGACCTTTAGCTACATACCAGAACACATAGCAGCCAGGACAAAGTGCACAGGGCCAGTGCACTTATCTCACACAGGGTCAGAGGTGGAAGCTCTCAGCCAAAGATGCTCCTCATGGCTGTGGTGTGCAGATGATAATAAGTTAATGAAGACACAATAGCAGTAAGCATAGCAATGAACATGTCCTGTTGAGTGACCGCTTGGCAATTGGAATCTAAAATTATGGTATTGATACTGAAATTAATCCAAGCATGGGCGACTTTTATTGATGTTTGAAATTATATCTATGTGTTATTATTTTGCTGCGTGTTCATAATGAGCAGTGCCTCCACACCAGTGCCACTCCCATGAGCCTGTGTATTGTCGAGGATGTCAGACGTCATCAGCAGAAGACCTTTGATGAGCCACTTACAGAGACAAGTCAAATCCTCCAGCGGTAGCACTGTGAGCTAATTGAGCTAATTGACCTAAACGCCCCCTGAGAATGAACACACCTAATCTTATTGTTTGCTTTCAACAACAGCTCACTCCTGCATTAGCTTTATCACTCCAGAGACACAGTTCAAGGGAAAATATCACAGGCACAGAATGTTTAAACCCAATGGGCAGAAATAACGCTATAGCTATAACATAACACCATCTGAATGTCTTGTTTCATCTTACAATGAGAGAGATCACGGGAGGCAACCCCACTCACAGCAACACTGCATCTTTTTGCAGTGTAAAATAAAAGATATATTGTGGAACATACCAAGGAAATCATTAACATCATCATGGAAACAAGCAATTATAGAATCCTCAACCAGAAAATTTACACAGTACACTTTTAACTGTCTAAAGTTTTGTTTGAAACTTTTGTAGCAAAATGTAATGCTCATATAACACATTTATACAGTTAAATAAGCCTAGACAGGGACTACATAATTCATTTGAAACAGCCTGTATTTAATTATCATCTGTTAGCAGTTTGAACCCAGATTTCCGCACACATCATTTCTGATCAGACATGTGACCGTGCTGTATTGACCTTTTCATCATGCAGGGCCAATGAGGATATGAACAAAGGAAGTGGGATATTGAACGTGATTGAAGTGCAGCCAGGACAGAGCTGGCCTATGGGACGCTCCTCCTCTCCCCACGGGCCTGTGACTGTAATCTGCTGCTGGATGGTCTGTCCAGGGATTAAATGGGTGCTATTCGGCGGCCATCCCGTCTGACCTCAGTGCACTTAACCTGGCATGCTCTTAAGACTATTTGTCTACCTGTTTAGGAGCAGGAAGTGAAAGCATAACAAGGGCCATATGGGGTCAACGGCAAATGATGTAATGTAATTGGTAGTTGTAGTATGTTTTGTCAGTTTTAAAGGTAAGACTTGAAATGAAATGAAAAATTTGTTTAAAAAATCTTGAAATAACCTGGCTATTTCGCTACATAGCATGTGCTTTTCCCACAGATAAAACAACAATAAAGGGAGTAGGAGTTGTTCTACTAAACCTTGTTAAAGGTACGCTTATATGAATACTGCTCGTACTACAACTGCGTGCCAAAAGTCAATTTTGCACAGGAAATATTTAATAAGGAAGTACATTTTCTGTCTAGTTTTGGACCTCACTGACAAGGATCTGAAAAAAATGTGAAATGCAGGAGCCATGTAAAGCAACGTTGTAGTTACGGTATGTGTCTTTAAAAGGAGAGCGTGCTGCTGCTCTAGTCTCTAACCACACTATGTGAATAATGCATCGATCCCAGCTTTACAGTATCACAGTCCGCTGGCACAGTGCGCATGGCTGCACACAAACTCAGTGAACTTCCATATCCCGCAAATAGTCCTGAGGGACACCAGCCATCACAAAAAATGACTTGAGATGGTGTTTCCTGAATGGGGAAGAGCGCAGGAACAGTGGGGCGTTTGAGTGAGCCCACTGGCAGAGGGACGGCTGGTGCGCTAATGTGGACCATGTGGTGCAAAGAACGTACAGCGCCTCCTCTGGCCAACGCCCCCATTTGCAGCCACGCACAATTTCCTCAAATATGTGCGACATGCATGCACGTACACTCACTACTGAATTTCTGTTACATTGAGGTTGAACAATGCAGCATAAGTTTGGTCTTGCCCATTTACTCTAAATGTCTATACGTCTGGAGAATAGATGTATGCATGCTTTTGTTTAAAATAAATAAAAATTAAAATAAATAAATAAATAAATAAAATCATCTGTTTCTATAGGTTTACCAGGGTACCTTCCTGCCGTCCAAAGACATTAACATGTTGTTCAAGCCCTGAGTTACAGAATATGAGAGAATGTGCCCCACCCAAGACCATATGAAGACAAGCAGGTGTTGCCACCAGGCCAAGTAACAGGTCAGATGTTTGGAGAGTCAACCTCATTCACCATATCAATACAATAACCGAATAAGTGCAAGATAGATACAATAAACACTGTACTGTGGAACATTCTACTGTGGAACATTAAAGGTTGTCAAAAGTTTGAGACCATTTTTTTTCACCAGTAGATATGCCAGGAACCTGTACCCCCTCCAAACTTCCCTCACCTGGCCTTTGTTAAGGCTCACCTGCCTACAGCAGTAAGATAGATAGCATCTAGTGGTGGTATGTAAGAATACAACAGGGGCAGGTATATATATATATATATATATATATATATATATATATATATATATATATAATATATATATATATATATATATATATATATATATATATATATATATATATATGTATAAAATTGTGGTGTTTGCATTTCTATTAGGTGCTAATGAGCAACAGTAACTTGGGAAATCCTAGACGTTCACTAGTCTCACTTGGTCTCACTCTTACAAGGGATTAAGTTGTCAGGTTACATTGAACTCCGAGCGCCCTCGAGCCAGACAAAACCGTCTTAAGGTGCAAGCCGTATGGTTATTTATAACTGTGTTGGGTAAGCGCTCTCCCTCTTTGGCTGCCTCGACATGTATGGGCCTCTCTTTTCAGCTAACTGCATAGGGTTTTCAAGTATGTGTCTATGTAAGGGCCCGATGAGAAACGGACATGGACTAAATGTGTGTTTGGATTCGGTTGGAACTTGTCGGACTTGGTGAAGAAGTACATAATGAGCCTTCACTGAGAAGATAGACAGGAACACACGTTGTATTGGAAGTCTACACATCCAAACCTCTCATCCATCTCCACTCTTTCTTCCCAGCTCTTCTCAGCCCACCTATGTGGAAGTACAAGTTATTTTGGGAGATGGTGCTGGCCAAGTACCGGCTGCAAAGTGTAAAACTATCCGAGACAGAACGCACAGTGGATTTGGTAGTGCACTGTAGTGATGGCAACTGCACCGTTTCTGTCACATGGTACTTGCAAGCTCCTAAAAATGTGTTAATGGTTATGATTCCAAATTACACTTCCTACTTGGACCTTGTTTGCTCAATAAACCAGGAACCACCACCCACAAGAGCTGTCTCAAATATCTCTTATCCAAATCCAAATCCATAAAATGTGATTCTTAAAAGCCTCAACACATGTCTGATTTTTGGATTCTCCACAATGGAAAATCACAGAAGGGTCTGAAGACAGTTATTGACTGTTAGGACAAATGGCTTTATTCATTGGTCATTTATCATGGCTGTGTATCAACGAGACGCTGCAGAAGATCATGGTTTCAATTTCAAAAACTGCAGCAGATGAAAGACAGACTACACAATGCAATTAACAAAAATTCTCAGCCCAAACATGATATTTCTAATCAAGATTTTGTTTTGTAACATTTACCACATGTGACAAGGACATTTTTTCCCTCAAATAAAATAATGTTTTTTAAATGCTGTCCATTCAGTCTGACATTAAGCTTACTGGCTTGTGTTGTGACCCGTAAAATGGCAACACACAGCTCAGTGATTTACCTGACATTGACAAGCAGAAAAGTAACTTAACTGTCTCAATCTGCCAATGATTCTGAAGTTGCATAAACATTCCCGTCATACTAGATAAATCAGCTTGGTGTGAAGGGTGTTGATTGTATTGACACATTGAGATGACAGTACATCTGGGACCTCATTAAACTATACTTGGAAAGAGTCCAAAGCTCTAAAAATGACACTAATATACTCAATATAGCGGCTTACTCTACAATACTGCACATCAAAGTAAAAAGACTATATATAATTGTAATATGGACAATATTTACAATTTATAAATACATTTTTGACCGATTCTTCAATGCTTATATGGCCAAACAGCAGTATTTAGTGACAGGGCAGCTCTTCCAGACTCTATTCTAGATCTTGGGCCAGGGTCTTGGTGAGGAGTTTAAGGAAGTACCTTGCTGAAGTATTAGCCTATGAAAACTCACCTATAACACAATAGAAACATACAAACTCTAAACAGAAAGGCCCTATTCATTTTACAGGAATTGTAATCATTTCATTGTGGGGTGAAAGTGGCAGTCATACTGCTGCCATACCATCTATACTACTAAATAGATGTTCCTTCCTTTAAATATTTTTATCTGTCAATGACTGACCTCCTGCCGGTCAAGCCAATGATAACAATAAGAATATAAAATAATAAAAACTAGAGATTATGATTATAGTTCTTGGCAACTGCAGTGGCCATGTTGACAAAAACAAATACATTCTAATAGAAAGTCAAAAACAAAACTAGAAATGTTATTGATGACAAATGGTACTCCCTAAAAAATGCTGGGTTAGTTTTTCTACCCAATTGCTGGGTTAGGGCTGATGGGTCATTTTTAAAAAAAGTGAATTTTAGCTGTCTCAGTCTGCATCTGATTTAATTGAATTATGAAAATGAATATTCACCCTGTTAATTCATCACTGGTCTATATTTTATGCAAAATTACTGTATGTTAACATGTAATTAAAAGTGCAGCTATTACTTCCCATGACCTTTTTGGTAGAGTTTTACAGTCATAATACGGCTCATGGAACTGGGTGTCAATTACTTGGTTACCATGGCGATGATTTCTCTAGTTTTCATTATATCCCATTGGTCAAGCCTATGAAATATGCTGATGAAAATAATCCAACATCAATCACAGTATTTTATTTATTTTTTCATATGTTTCCACGACTGAAAAACAACCATCATTAATATGAAAATGTATTGTACTGCACTAAGGCTACATGGTTTTAAGAAAAAAGTAAAATTTAGATTTTTCTAAAGTATTGTGATTGCAAAAATCTGCTTGTAAAAGGTAAAAAACCGAATGGTTGAGAGTTTTTTCTTTCTGTTCAATAACGTGATTTTTGTTGTCCAACATCCAACAGTCTATTATCAAAATAATTGATTGATTTGTTTTTAATTAGAGTTTGTGCCAAGAAAGAAAAATAATCATATGCATACAACATATACACTGTAAACAACAGAAAAGCACATTTCTGGAAAAGGATGGAAAAGGAAGAAGAAATACTTAAGTTAACCCACCCCATCCATTGCAGTTTTAAAAAATGATTAGTCACAGTCTGTGCGATTTGACAAATGCACCAACTAAAATTGTGATTATTCTAACAGCACTCTATAGTTCCGAGTATGAAGTCTGTCTGAGTGGCAGGTGAGCCAAGGTGTGGATGTCCCCTTGGGCTACAGGTCCTGGTCAGGCTGGAGCAGTGTGCTAAGGCGCTGCATGTGTCCACAGTGTCACACACCATCTAGTCAGGTGCACTGTGAAGGAGGGAGTGCCAGCTGCTGTCGAGGCAGGGATAATCTGCCTAAGCTGCTTTCACATGATTTCACCCACAGGGAAGAATTTAGGAGGCGCTTGTAAACCTCTTCAGAGCTGGCCTTGGAGACTCTCCCTGCTCCCATCTAAGAGACTGGTGTGATATAAGGAAACTTCATTGAGACAGAGGGGACAGAGGACTGAAAAATATCAGTAATATTACAGGGCAGATCAAAATTCTATGAAATAATTTGCCTTATAACAGTCAAAATGGTATAATATTGCTGTACTTACTGGCCCTCTCCATATGAAACAAAACAATCACAAACCAATAATGGACCCACCCACCACCACCACCACCACCACCACCACATATAGTATTAAAGTATTAGTGGCATCATTTTATCATCCAGACCTTCAACCACAAAATTAATATGGCAAATTTATGGACTCATTCCCAGACAAAAATTATAAGTTTTAATAAAATTTTGATAGTTTTCCAACTTTTCCAAAACAGTGAACAGTGAATCACCCATAGAGTTATACAGACGCTGCCCTGCATATGATGTTATGAGAATCTTGTGCATTTGTTATTACTTCTAGCATTTTATATCATGTTACTAATTAAATAAAATGACTACTACCACTGCATCACCGTCTTCTGTTATCAGTTTATTAGCTGTTCCTAAAAGTACAGCAGACAGACTGGAGAGATAAGGATCCTATGAGATCCAAAGTGCGATTGACTTAAACAGGGCAGGGATATTCAGTCTGACCTTCTGAGAGAGCTGGATAGACCTGAACAGTAAAAGATAATCTAGTAACAGCCTGGGTCAAAGTCAGCCGCCTAATGCCTTTCCATGCTGTGAGGTGGTGACTACTGTTACACGCTCCAAAGGGCACAGGCAACTCTACCAATGGCCTCCTGTTACTACTGAGGAAACTGACAGTATCTTCTCATTTCAAATGAAGAACATATACTATGCAACTT